CCCCACCCGCGCAATACTCCTCCCTCACTCACCTCTTCTGCTACTCACAATGTGGTGGTGGTTCGTGGTCATTGCTTTTCGACAAGTGTGGGGTAATGATGATGACAGTACTGTAGCGTGGTTGCTTTTAGTGGTGAAGAAGTTAAGTGGTGATGATTACAGGGATGGGATAATGCGTGGGTGGTTGAAACAGTACAGTAAATAGTATGTGTGCGGTTGGGCATAGCGTAAAGTAGTGGTGAGGATATAATGGTTGCTTAAGCGTGAGGGGAAGGGTAGTATGGTGTGGTAGGATGGGTGGTGTGGTGGAGGGGGTGCTAGAGGGCCTGCCGTCCCGTTAGTGACCGCGTTCCACACCGCCACCTCCCCCCTTCCACCACCACCACCACCGGCTGCGCTCCTTACTACACTACCCGGCCGCCACGATTCCTCCTGCCTGCCGTTGCTCTTGGCCCTGCCGTTTTTTGCCACGACTACTATTATTGCTGTCGGTGCTTGTTGCTAATGCTGCCTTACCTCTTAATACTCATGCTTCTGACGCTCTTGTTGCTACTGCTCTTTGCTGCTATTTTTACAGCTGCTCTAGTTTTGTTGCTGCCTTGGGGCTAATGCTGCCGGCGTGCGCTGTGAATGCTGATGCCTCCGCTGTTACCGTACTGTTTCTACAGTATATTTACTATTATTACTGCCGTGTCGGTGCTTGTGATTTTAAAGTCAGTTGGAGATTTGGAGGAACAAGTTTGAAAGTTTATGGTAACGCATTTAGTGGAGAATATGTCGCACGGACGGCAGAAGGTTATCTCTTAGTTGACGTAAAAATAGAAATTTACGCGCCTCTATGTGGGCGTCGGAATGAAGACTCGTAGCTGAGTGGTAAAGCATTCACCTCGAAATTAAAAGGCACCGGGTTTGATTCCCGGCAAGGACTGAGAAGTTTATCTCCATGTATCCCAGCATTGTACTCTCAACACTTGTTATCATCTTACTTTGCACTCCCTCGAGAGACGTAGAGCGAGGGGCGACCTGATAGAGGTGTATAGGTGGAAGGCAGGGCTAAACAAAGGGGACATTACAAAGGTACTCAAACTATCCAACCAGGAGCGAACTCGTAACAATGGTTTTAAATTAGACAAATTTAGATTTAGGCGTGAAATAGGTAAACACTGGTTTGGAAACAGAGTAGTGGATGAATGGAACCAGTTACCAAATATCATCATTAACTCGAATACGCTGAATAGCTTCAAACATAGGTTGGATGCTTATATGAGCAATAGGGGTTGGGTGTAAACGGGACTGCCCAGTATGGGCCAACAGGCCCGCTGCAGTTTCCTCCATTCTTATGTTCTTATGAGAACATATGTAATCACGGTACATTGTCGGGTGTGCTAGATTTGGATGGAATACTCTTTTAACGGACTGGCATCTCCTCAAGTGGATGTACGTGTAAAGAGGAAATATTATATAACACTGGAAAATGGTCTTAGGGAAAAAACACGACATTTATGAAAGTAAAGGTGTTTTTATATCAAGGGTTATTGAACGAGATCACGCGTAGAATTTTTTTTAAGTAACCACAAGCATTATCTTGAAGACAGAATTAGTAACTTTTGGGTAAGAACATATATAAAATAGGTCATCAGGCCTGGGAATTTTTGGTCGAGTGGTAATGTACTTGTTCACTAGAGCGAGTTTCCGGATATCAAAGATGGAATGTGATGAAATCATGTTTGTATAATATTAAACGCATATTTTTTATTAAAGAGTTATATTGATTTCTAGTTACATTGTTGATTTATTTTAATAAGAACTGATAATAGGTTAGAAGGATGTGAGAGGTCGTGATGAAGAAAGTTTTACATTGTTGGGAATGTTTAAACCAGCAGCAATATTCCCTTCAACTCGCTTGTTCTTAACTCTGCCGCACTGTTATTTATTTAGGTTTTATTTAAATACTGTTATTTGTTTATTTTGAACTTTGTATGAACCTTAAACGTTTCCCTTTAAAGTTGGCACCTTCAGTAGATGACTTTTGGCGGGTTTAGTTTTTTAGTTTAGCAAATTTATTGACAAAGCTTGGTAGGTAGAAAGTGGATCCAGGCTGCCGCTTCTTCCCGTAAACTGCCATAAGATATACATTTTTCATAAAGAACTGTCATAAGAAAGGTTTCCTCTATTGAACAGCTTGATAAGGTCTTTCTGGGTTGAAATGATACTTGTTATGGAATTTTCCTGTCATGAATATCAGTCTAGTTTTATCAGCGTTTTCCAAATTGTATTTACTGCAATATTAATTTGGGTGTCCACGTTGTCTTGCTGTTTCTTTCTGATCTAAACATTAACATGGAGGATTGATGATGATATTAGTTGTTTGTTGTTTATTAGTTCACGCTGGAACAAAGGCTTAACTTAAATATAATTGTATCCAGAGGTCTCAAGCCATACTCTCGACCCAACCCAACACAACACTATGTTCATTTTCATCTGTGGGCATAATAAATAAATGTTATTTTTCGTTTGTGAACATAATAAATAAAATTAGAATGACTACTATCACCATTAGCCCAAACATTCTAGTTGTTGGTTAATAAAGTGAAACAAAAACAGGAGTAAAAGAACATAGTGAACGCTGGTCAGGCTATACAGTATTAGTCCCTCCTAGCCTAGTGTCCGTTTATTTTTAGTACATTAATGTTATTTGTTCTCTCGTGTTCTCGGCGTTGTTGTTTAAGTACTTCAGTTGCCTGGGTTATTAAGCTCCGGGCACTGTACTGTATGTGTCGATTTTAACATCAGACCACTTGAAAGATTTCGAGGCAGCACAAACCCACGACATTCATACCGTTGGTGGGGGAAAGTTATGAGAAACTCAGTGTTAATATGTAATGTCATTTTACGTACTTTTTGTGGACTTTAAACTAATTCATTACATCATGTTCGGGACTATTTATTTATTTATTTTGTAACTGCGTGCTTGGTAAAACGGGACAGGAGGCACAACAGAATAAAATACAATACTATTAATATATTGACAGTGTGTCCATAAAATACCTTATTTACCTACTGGCCACCCAAACTAGAGGTGGCCATGCCGGGGCAAGGGGGGCCAGAGATCTGTGTACTGTAGGATCCCTCCATTGTTCTTAACCACTTTGTCAAGGGCTATTTAGAAGTACAGAAATGTCCAGTACTGTTCGTGATTCCACAGCTTGGGCTGGTAGACCGTTCCATAGGTCTTCCCCTCTGTGTGAAGAAGCATTACCGTATATTTGTTATGCATGATAATTTGGCGAGCTTGTAGTTATGCTCCCAGGTGTGTTGGTGGTGCGTGACATGACCTCACAATAAATGTCCCGGGTTCACGTTTTCCGTCACTGTCAGGATTTTGAATGTTTCAATGAGATCTGCTCTATTGTACAGCAGATGAATGGCTCCATTACCCTCACCAATAGAACAATGTCCCTGACGTTTAATAACCAGGAAATATAGCAAGTAGAAATATTTGTAACATGGTAAAGAGTTAACGGGACCCATACTTATTGTTTGGCCTGTGTGTTAGCTTATAAATATCCTCCTAGCACCAAGACACTGTTGCCTACCTTGAGAGACGGTGATGATGGTGCTGAATTTCCATCTTGTCTGTTACATGATGATATAATGGACCGAGTGGCTGTGACTTGTATGAATGAGAAGTGACCTTGGTGTGCTCTTTGTGTTACTTGGAGATTGGGGGAGGTGTTGTGTGGGACGCGCATGTGTGTGCTCTGTGGTACAAGCGTCTGCGTATCTTTGTGTGTAATAACAAAATAATAAGTAATTAAGGAGTTATTGTAAAGGTTCAGCAGTCAAAAGGCTGAAAATATACATAGGAGAGAAATGACTTATTACATACAAAGACATGGGGTAGGTGGGTCGTTTAACAAAAGCTTTCGTTACTAAAAGGAGAAGGAACATGAATTGAACATACAAATTATAGTTTACAGTTGATGGCCCGGGTTGGTCTCTTGCCCTACTGTGTGTGTGTGTGTGTGTGTGTGTGTGTGTGTATGTATAGGACTGATGTGTGTGGGGACATAGCGATGGAATAAATTTTATGGATGTGACATGTGTGTGTGAGCAAGTGTTGTTGAGGGGTGCGTGGTAGGTGACGAGGCAGGTAGAGGGGGTTCAAGGCCAACCGGTAGTAGCAGGTGTTAGGAGATACTTAAGTAACATGTGTACTGGTGTGTTAGTGTGCTATTGTGCACTACCTCGTCACCCAGTCTTACAATTACTGCCTCTACACTATATCTGTCATGTACCCAGTACCCGTAATTCTGACATTTTCTTGAATGGTATTGAATTGTTCAGGTATTGGGGCAAATGAAGTCAACCTTAATAAATATATAGTACACTAAACCCTCATTAAGTTAATTCATTCCAGACCTATGCCAACATTAGTATTTAAGGTAATTTGTAGATTTTATGCGTAATACTGTAGAACTCTTATAGAAAATCAACCCCGACTCCCACACTCCCTGTCGGGGGATCCATGGGTGACGCTTCTTTCACTGTACCTTCTGAGTTATTAGTAAAACTGTGTTGTGGTGTATGTTACCAAGTTCAGTGTGTTACTGGCATATAAGTGATCACACACACACACACAGAGTGAAATGAGTGACAGGTGCTCTAATTAAGGCATCACATTGTTATGCTGTACTGTACAGTATATTGGGATCATGTGGGAGAACAGTATTTGGTGTGTCATGTATCAGAAGCCTCTTACGAGTCTTGCTATTTTATGTTAGTGTTCATACAGATCGTGGATTTTAAACTTTTGATGGTATTTTAAGGTGGGAAAGTTATTATTCTGTTGTTTGGCAGATTCCTGTAAAATTAGTATGGGGAAGTACTGTGTGAGAGAGATTGTGCTTTCTTGTTTTGTTCTCAGAAGAGTTGGGGAAGTTGTGAGGGTGACGTGAATATGAAAAACTAATGGTGTGATTTTTTTGTGTGTGTTGCAGGAGAGTCGTGCAGGCGGTGAGAGTGAGGGCGAGGGCGAGGGGGATCTTGATGATGTGGTCGCACCACCCCTGGAAGATGCCCCCCCTCAGCAGGACGATGCTCCTCCACACCCAGCTCGTCGCCCCATGAATGCCTTTCTTATCTTCTGCAAAAGACATCGAGCTCAGGTGAGTTAAGCGGCTCATGCAGGTTGTATATCTGTGGATTAATGTTTTGGTATTTTGTTGTTGGGTTTCTTATTTTGGAACTGTAATTATATAGGACATTACTGTATCATGGTAGCTTTGTCATATAACCTACATCAGTTCAAGTCATCCTGCTTCAATTATTTTGAGTCTTTGGTAAAGGGATGTCATGGAGAATAGATATGATAATGATCTCTTCTTACATTTAATATTGGTAAAAAAAAGTTCACAGTTATATAGAGCAGTACTATAGTTTTCAAGTAATAGTACTGTATACTATACTGTGCTATACTGGGTTGAGTATCGTTTACTGATACACATTCAAATTTTCAGGTACGAGAAAAATACCCTCACTTGGAGAACCGTCAGGTGACAAAGATTTTGGGAGAGTGGTGGGCGGACCTTCCAGCGCACCAGAAGACATCCTATACTGAGTTAGCACGGCAGTACAAAGAGGCCTTCCTGCGTGCCAACCCTGACTTCAAGTGGTACAAGATCCCTGCACAGCCCCCTCGGCCACCACCAGCAAGACCTTCCAACCAGAAGGTCCCCAGGTGTAACCCTCTTCCCACAGATGGTGCCATCACTTTTGGAAAACTTGCTGGTAACATTTATTCATCTTCTGTTCATTTGGTATTTTTATATGAGTTTGTCTTAATGAATTACAAGAGCATTGAAATGTACTGTTAAAGATCATCTTGGAAGGTTCATAGGTGATTGGTAATTCATCACATAAAACTGATTGCAGTTATCTAGTTATTCATGTGTAGTTTGGACGAGTATTGTACATACATCTGGTAAATTTGCTGATGGTGAGATAAGTACTGTACTGTACAGTATAGGTGAGGTAATCAAAGTTAGTAGCTCTGGAAATAGGCATTATACAGCACTGTACTGTACTGTAGCTGTGTCCAATGAGGAGTACAGTACCGTGGACATTTATTCTCTGTTTTATTTATCTGAAACCTGTCACCCTTTTCCTGCTTGTGTCTGTATCTCTGTCATTCACTGTTCAGATGCCTGGTGTGCACACACACACACCCCCCGATAGATATAAGAATAGCACCGTCCCATCTATTGTTAAAATAATAAACAACTCCTGATTTATGTACTGTACAGCCCTGTAAATGTATTCAATGCATATTATATCATTATGTCTAAATCAAATGTAAGTCTGTATATTTTCAGCCACCGGCTGCAACTCTATTAATAAACCGTTTATTATTATTATTACACATACACACACACACACACACACACACACACAGTACCCCTGTTCCTGTCTCCCAAAGGCTCCCATTTTCAAACCCTCATCATTATTCTCCAGTTACTTAACCCTTTAACCCTTTCATACACACTGTTGTCATTCTATTTTCTATCATCCCTTCCTCTGTGTCTTATCTCCTCTTCCTCTCCCCTTCTTATATCTTTATCTACATTGTTTTCTATTCCTCATTTATTATTCTCACTCTATGCCCAAATTTCATAGAACCAGTTTCAGGTCCTTGCATTCTTTGTTTGAAGCATTGTGAGTCTTCATGGTAGGGAAAGTAGAGCTTCATGATAAGGAAGAATTAAGCTTCAAATGATAAGGAAAAGAGGAACGAAAAATTATATGATATTGGAGTATATTCAGTAGTGAAAAATATTGATAAACGTGCTTGAGAGTTTCTTATATTGTTTAGGTTTTAGAACTGTGAATGTTGTATGAGGGAAAAAATTGAGAGAGAGAATGGGAAGGGGGAACTTCATAATAAAACTGATAATTTCTGTACAAGACAATAATTGAATTTAGCACCAATAGTTTGTCATCTTTAAACCAGCCTAGTGTTGGTGGTTTGTTGTATTACTGTACCAGGTAGTCCATTTTATTGGGTCAAACTACTCCTTTGTGTTTCCGGCAGCATTCATAATATTATCAGTGTACAGTATACCTTATCATCTCCAGCATCATCTGTTAAAGTTAAGCTAGTAGAAATATTGCAATGACTAGATGCATGGGAGACTGCAACCAATCTCATGCATGAATATGGAGTTAAAATTATTATCTATGATTTGAAGGCCAATAAGAAGTGGATATGTATTGAAGCTTTACATTGACATTTATTCAGACACAATTGAAGAATAGAAAAAGTTTAGAAAGTTTAAATTACCAGAGTTATGGATTACATCAGATTTGTCAAATTCTCTAACATTGCCAGCATGTTGATGGTAGACATAACCATCTTATTTTAAAAACCACTATTGCAGTCATGATCTTGAAAATTATGATTATGTTCAAAATATCATTACAGTACAGTACAGTAAGGTATTCTCCAACAAGCTGATTAAGGACGTGGGGTAAAAAATTGTGATTTTAATAGTTACTTGTCCTAATGACGCTTGTAAATTTTTCAATAATTTTACAACCCTATTTACTGTACAGTGTACTTATTGACCCTATTTTTTGTATCCCGATTTTTGTTTGTTTTTCTGTTATTCTGGATGTACAGTTGGTGTATTGAACATTGGTAAGTCTGCACCAAACAGAGTCTTAAAGAAAAAAGAGATGTGGAACTCACTCATTGTAAACTTCCTTTGTTGTAATTGATTTTAATTCGTTGCAGATGAGGCCCAGATGGGTGGGTTAAGTACCCTCCTGTCAACAGCTTCAAGCAGCAGTGGGAGCAGTAGTATCACTGGAAGCAGTAACAGTATTGGTAGTGGGTCATCCAGCCTTACTACCTTCACCACTGCCTACGCGTCAGCAGGAAACACCTCAGCAGCTCGCTCATCTCCTATTGGTTCCTTGCCGAGTGTGGCTGCACCCAGCACATTTACAAATGCTAATTCTACAAGCATCTCCTCAATGAGTACAAACACAGTTGCTGCCACGAACTTGTCGTCGTGGAGTGGAACGTTGCAGCGTCTCGGCCCGGGACCTGCCTCCACAAACGAAACCAGTACGAACACCATCTGTAACGGCCCCAAACCTAACAGTGCAAACAACACAGCAGTCAGCACCGGGGCGGCTGTCAGTGTGATAACTCCACACGTTGAAAGTGCCACTAGTATGACTCCTCCAAAACCCCCTAAGAAGAGGTACCTGCATGAGAATCTGCACCAAGTACAGCAGGCACACACAGTACCTACGCCAGCACACACTCCACCTGACACCGACAAACAGAAGGCATGTTCATCTTTAATTGAATTCTCACAGGTAGCTAGATAGATACAGTAAACCTGCAGGTAATTCACCAAAGCATTGCTAGTAATTATTGCACCTCAAAATTGTACTATTATTGTCCTATTGATTTTATTACTGCTATTTAAATGTCATTATTATTTAGTATAAATTTTTAAACTTGAGTTTGCTCACAAAATGTTACTGTATCAGCTGTACTGTATTATGCTCAACTTGTATAACTGGCCTTGAGGCTCAGAGTAATCAGTGGCCTCATGGTTAAATCTTTACTGTACTGTATAATAATATACTATACCCCAGGAGGTATTTAACCTCTTGTGTGTAAGAGCCATGCTGGGCTGAGTAAAATTGTTTGGTGTTAGTCAAATAAAATATTAAAAGTGGTGTCCCCTGAGTAAAGAGGTTTATTATAACACAGAAATCTCTCAAGGGAGGTTTAGGGTGACTAACTTACCCTCTCTTGTGACACTTTGATATTGTGTATTATTTCTGTGATTTATTTTAGGAATTTAGTTCTAACATAAGGGGAGCATAACATCAATAGTTATAACTAGGAAGGAGTGGGTACAATACAGGACAGTAATTAAGAAGATAAATATTCTAGCATGACTTATAAAGCACTTCTCAAGATGAATTCGTGAACAGTAATAGAATATGACTTGGTGTGCTCACAAGTGCTCTTACCATTGATGAAAATTTTAGAACAATTTAAAATTTAAGAATGATCCTAAAAGTTCCAGGGTTTTTACCCTGTCTGTTTGGAAAGTAATATGTCTTGGAAATGTAAGTTAACATAATAAACTGCCTTAGGCTTTCAGAAGGTATGAATTTACAATACTAATAATTTTTTTTTTACTCCAGACCTAATTCAGTCTGTTTACATGTTCCTTTGGTGAGAATTTGAGCAAAATTTAAGATTGGACAAAAAGGCAATATTATCTAGGCTATAGCTGTATATGCCCAAGCCAATTTATTTTTATTATTATTATAGTATATACAGTATATTTTTTGGGGGGGAGGGGGTAAAAACCTTATTGTCTTGGATTAGGAAATTTATGTGGTTAACTCCCGCAAGAAATGGGTAAATAAAGTCGGAGGCGAACATACTGATTAATGAATAATGAATAATACAGTACATAGTTAGTATTTAAACATTAGAGTCAGAGATGTAGGTGAGTTTGCATGATGGGTAATGAACAAGTTAAGGAGCGTCATCGGACACTGTACTGCCGGGTTAAAAGGGAACGTACTGGCCACTCGGTGTCATTTTCTAAGTTAAGTTCAATATTATGGTGTACTTTTTTTTAATTATTCTTTATTTATTCATTCAGTTTGTTTTTTCAGAAAAGTCTTGCTGATGTCAGACCAACCTCCCAGTGGCCCCAAAGTCATATAAGGCAAAGGGTTGAGTCTGTCCCCCTACCAGATGCTGAGGCTCTAGATGAACAGCAGAGAAGAGTGACCAATGGTTGTGTTAGCACGAGTTCACCTCTGGGAATTCCCAACATGGCTCCTTCTGAACCAGGTCACCGATTTGAGGTCTCTCACAGTCCTTCACAAGGAACTAATGGCTCTCCTTATCGGCACACCACACCCCCAGGCCAACCCCACTCTCCTCCACCAGAGGATCAGCCTCTTAACCTATCCACAGAGACAACGTTATGCGCCTCACAGCAACAGTTGATTGACAATATTGTAGATAGAATGTGTGGTGCGCCAAACTTAAATAGTGTGAGTAGTGATAATCGCTCGGACGTTCCTCGTTTCTTCCGACCAGAAAACTTAAATAATAATAATAACGAAATAGAAAAGCCCGCCTTTCATAAGGCTATTGATGCACGAATAAATGGAATGTGTGATGTGAGTTTACTTGTTTCAAAAACTATTGATTTTGTGATTGATAGAGCTTATGATGATGAAAAGGAAAAGAAACAGAAACTACTAAGTGAAGATGGCAAAGGACCAGTAAGTGAGACTAAAAGTAATAACACATCAGTGGCAGAACCAAACAAGGGTGAACAAGTGCAGTCTGACCAGCCGAAGGCCGAGTCAAAGGAAACTGTCAGCTCCAGTAGTAATAACTCCAGTAATAGTAACACAAATGGCATTTCCAGTCCAAATACCCGACCAAGAAAGAGAGTTAAGGAAGACAGTTTAGAGGAAAATGATGTCTCTCATAAAAAGGTATTTACATAGTTTTTCTTTTTGTTGTAGCAGTATTATTGTTGGCAGACGGTACTTTTCTTCCTATACGCATTAATCATCTAAGTTCTGTCATGCCATACTGTAAGTTATTGTGATTTGGATGTATCAAATTCCCTTCACAGCTTCATGCATCATCAACTGATCTTTCTCTTTTGCTACACAGAATTTTGCATTAATTCCTCATTCTTTAGGGTAGCTAACGTGTCCACCATCTGGAGTTTATGTTCACCACTTGAGAAATTATTTGTATCAGCCTGCACCCTCTTTGTCATTATTCTTTTACAAAACCAGATGTGCCTCATAAAAGTACCACATCTTCTATTCCAGTTCACTACTTATCATGGGTCGATTTTTGTTTTCATTTCATTCTGTACCTTCTTCACCTAAAGCAATTTAATTACAGTAGGTACAAAACTGTAAGAGATGCTGTATCATTCATCTTTTTTGCCCTTGTTAATTGTAACATATTTGCTTTTACATTTGAATTTGCCTTTATTTTTTTCTCATCCCAAAACCATCACCAGATAGTAAATATAGATGTACTCTATTGTCAGTTTGTGTTGTGTGTCTCTAAGAACATTCTCAACTGTTATTTCTTTCCAGGTCTAAGTGTCTGTCTCATTACTCATTAATTAACTGGATACATTAAAACACATTAGTGATAAACTTCAGTTTTTACCCCTTGAATACTGCCTACATAATGGTTAACACACACACACACACACACACACACACACACACACACACACACACACACACACACACACACACACGAGACTTCCATTTTAAAAGGATGAGCTTTTCTCTCACCAAACAAAGCTGCTGACATAATTCTGTAGCAGTGTAGGTTACAGTATAGGAATCTTTATTGGTATTATTTGATAACAGAATTTGAGTTACATCCAGGAGATTTCCACAAACTTTGTATAAATCAGTGATGGTAAATTCCCACAGACTATTTTCACTACATACATATGTCAGCAGAATTGAGAAAAAATCTTATATCTCAAATAGTTATGATTTCTTGTACAGGTACAATAGTTTCTCACCTAATACACTACAACAGTACAGTATGGTCTTCAGACCGTACAGTATGTACTTGATGATCATATATGGATGAAGGCAGTGTAGGTGTCTCAACACTCAAATTTAATGGTTGTTTGGATCATAGAAAAGTTGTTCACATGGTTCTTGGAAAAAAGTGTTAAAGTCATATTACAAAAAATATACTTTGTGCACTTTTGTCTTTTTCTTTGAGGTAAGAAAGCTTTTATCTTTGTGTAGAGTACAGTACTTCAGTACAGTACAGGACAATACAGTACAGTACAGTACTACTATACAGTACAATGTTATGGGTGTGACCAGTTTAAATGGGTTTTCACCATAATGGCAGCTTCTCTTGAACATTTGTGCTCTGTGATGATTGTATTATTTTGGAGAATCTTACCTCTTTTCTGTTTACCTTCCTACCTTATTTACCTAATGGCCACCCAAACTAGAGATTGCCATGCCAGGGGAAGGAGGCCTGTGTAGGATCCCTCCATTGTTGTTGATAGTCTTGTCTAGGACTATGTTGAAGCCCAGTACTGTTCTTGATTCCAATAGCTTGAGCTCATAGACTCTAGACTGTTCCATATATTTACCAGCCTCTGTGTGAAGAAATACTGTACTTCCTTATGTTCATTCTGCATGACACAGTATCTTGGCAATCTAAGTTGTGTCTCCTCTTGTTGGTGGTGTGTGACATCACAAAAAATTGCCTGGGATCATGTTTTCCATTCTTTGAGTATGACTGTTTATGCTAAGCACAAGATTTTTGAACATCAAGATGCATCTTCTTTTTCTCAGAGCCTTTGAACTGTTCAAACATTGACATCCTCAAGATCTCAGCTGATTTGTGACAATCATCCCTCTAACATGACTTTAAAATGGGACTCTTGGAACTAATGTAATAGTCAAGGCTAAAAGGCCAATTTTTTGTGCAGTAATCCCCCTTCAGAAGGACTGAATGGTTTTCAAAGGTTTGTGACCTCTGTCATAGGAGGGTTATTTACCCTTCTGAGTCAAGAGGTTGTAATGTTGTCTTAGACTGAGTGGATAAATAGTTTAATCCTCAGCACAACTTTCTCATGACAAGTTAGCCATCTTGGTAAACTGTAGATTGTAAAAATCTTGAGCCTCTTGCACACAGTGTAGGGCAGTAAACTGACCTTCCCCCCATCAGTGATTTCTTTGGGGATTTTTTTTTTCATCTCAGTCATACTGTTGAATCATATATTGAAACATGTTTTCGTATATTATATGATCTACTTTCATACAACCCCGTCGAAAGTCGGGGAGGAGCTGTATATGTATTTTTGAACATGCTGATTAAGGAACTGTTGTCCACAGTTTGATATCTGTATAATTACTTGTCCAAATGACATATCAAACATTTTAATTACTTTTCTAACACTAACTACTCACTGCCTATGGTTTTTCAGGTCACTTATTGGGGTTTATGTGTTATTCTGGATGTACAGTACAGTACTTCTCAGAGGGGCTGTTGTAAACTTAACACCTTCTTTCCCCGACCTCTCTCAGTATATCATATACTGTATACTAATTACAGGTACCTTAAAGGGAACTTATTGACCTTAACTCATTAGTCTAAGACTTTCCCATCCAATAAACTTACCACAGATGATAAATAAGTTCTCAGCAACACGGCTTGAACTCTCAGAGGCCTTTCTTAAAGGAACACTTCCTTATCTATGTTGAATGAGGAGCTTGGTCTTCTGCTCCTCAACCCTTGACTGCAAGAGCTCGGTAGTACAGTATTTTACTAGTAGATTCATCCTCTGTCTTCACATATCATAAATTTCTCCTTCCTGTTTTCTATGAATTTGGAATTTTACAGGTCACTTTTATGTAAACCATAATTTATAAATTAAGGATCAAACTATATAATCTCATTTATAGCCAAGGTTAAGAATCCAATAACCTGGTTCCCTCCCCTTATTGGTAGGAATATGTGAGGATCAAAGCTTGGAGTGCATCTAAGGGTGCTAAGGCTCTGAGATGTAATGAACTGACCAGAACAGTTTATCACTGTGAACATGATGCCTAACTGGCTTTTGATATTGGAGTTCAAAGCAGTAATTCATCTCTGACTTGATGAATAAGGAGCTGTTCTGCAATAATTACAGTACCCTGCTGGACACTACCGGGGGATGTTATACAATAGTCTGAAGTATTTCGTAAGTCGCTTGACCACCGAAGGGTCAAGACGTACCAACTCCCTCCCTTGAACCCTCTTCCCCACCAGAATATCAACAAATTCTCGCCAGAAGTTACAATTTCATTTAGGAAAGGAATGGAACTAGTGTTGAACAGAGGTGAACAGTGCATAAGTCAGTGAGAACAACTCAACAGTAACAGCCTCACACAGTAAGGTCCCAGGTACCCAGTGATAACTGCCCGTGAGAGTGGTGAGACCCAACAACAACCAGCGATGTGTTAATCCGTCTACGATAGGAAGACCTGGGACCACACCTCACCCATATAACACCACCTGTGAGGGAATTACTACACCATGTGAGGCCCCTCAAACACCATCTGTGAGGAAATTACTACACCATGTGAGGTCCCTCATAACACCATCTGTGAGGGAATTACTACACCACATCAGGTCCCTCATAACACCATCTGTGAGGGAATTACTGCACCACGTGATGCCCCTCATAACACCATCTGTGAGGGAATTACTACACCACGTGATGCCCCTCATAACACCATCTGTGAGGGAATTACTACACCACGTGAGGTCTCTCATAACACCATCTGTGAGGGAATTACTGCACCACGTAGGGTCTCTCCTAACACCATCTGGGAGGGAGTTACTACACTACATGTTTGCTGTTCAACACCTACATTAATCTGTATGTTCACTGTATGTTCCTTTACCTTTCTCAAATGAAGGTTTTTGTTAAACCACCAATATATGTAATAAGTCATTTATGTCCAATGTATATTTTCAGCCTTTGGGCTGCAGAACTTTTTCAGTAAACCATTAATTATTATTATTATTATTATTATTATTATTATTATTATTATTATTATTATTATTATTATTATTATTATTATAAGCTGTAAGATGGGACATACTGTATAAGCTGTAAGATGGGACATACTGTATAAGCCATAAAATGGTGTTTTAATCTTTAGTACAGGATTATATACCAGTTGAGTACCTCCTCCTGTTTTGTTTGATCTCACAAAAGCTGGCTTTGGTCCCTTAAGAGGAAGTTCCTTTGAAGGATTATCACTTCTAGCTACTGTGCTCTTAACATTTTCTTTCCTTGAATGAAATATAAATCTGACATTATGGCAACCACATGAAGGAAGGGGGGGGGGGGGCAGGTACTGTATGTGAGGCCTCATCAGGAGGTACATGCGATGCATTTTGGGGAACCAAAAGTATATTGGGCGTATACAGAATATGCCACATGTATGTCTTTTACACATAGTTTATTAAAGAAATGAAAATGACATCTCACACGGAGAGCAGGGAGTACATCAGCCAAAAAAGGTTCCAAACCATTGGGTCAGTTATTTAGTGGTTGGGCAGTTGACTTAAAGATAATAGGTGTGGTGTTTGACAGTGTTTCCACATCTTTGGTGGGATGTGTGATCTAAATTACTGCAAACTTTGGTTTTTTTTTAATAAATAAATACAACCAGGCTGTTGCCTCTCATGGGTATTTAACATTGAGTAACTTCTCAAAAAGTTCTCTTGTTATTTAGCGTTGCTTCATGATTTTGATAAACACTTTACAGTTAAGAAATTTGGCTTCCTCTTTGACAGAATACTTTTATTTCATTATTTAAGACTGTTCTTAAACCTTTCTTTCTGACTGATGTCTCAATTATTGTCAAGTGTAGAAGGTCTACAGTACAAAGGGAACCATTCCATCACTTACCAATGATTGTATCCATGACTGTTTTGCCATTGGTGTATTTCATCTCTTCAGTTCTATCAAGCTCAGGAAATAGATTGACCCTTTCTTAATTTTCAGAGACGCGACGTCTCAGGTGGACGCACCAGTCGGGGAAATTCTAGAAATGGGGTAGGGGTAGCAGGGGGCCGGTCAAGAGCCCCACGAGCCTGTAAGGGCAAGATCTATGAAGAACTCATCTCTGAAGGTGTCTTACCAGCCCCTCGCAGATCTCGGACAAGAAATAGCCGGTATGTATTGATTCAGTGCACAATGCAGTATAAGATTTATAGTTACCGGTATGTATTTGTATTAATTTTGAGGTTTTAATGATCTTTGAGTTCAGTTTCTTTGTTATGTGATTGCCATAATCAGTGTTAAGTAGAACCAGTCAGACACTGATGAGGTATACAGCTTATGATGTGTATGTATAGTCTGCAGCCATGCATAGCTGCAACATTGAAAGTCCAGTTAGTAAGTCTTGTTAGTGATGCGGGAGTAAGGATCCCACTTGAGGTTATAGTGTGCTCTTTGGTGTGGATATTGTGTCAGAAGCTGCTTCCAGATCTTCATCTATAAGAATTACTGATAAATAATTCAATATTGATGTATATTTGGCAGGTGGGAGGAAGCAGAGTCAAGCACCACCCAGGAGCAGGAAGATGAGGAGGACCCACAACACCATCACCAACAACAACATAATCAGGAAGAAGAGGAGGAAAATGAGGAGGAACATATAGAAGAGGAGGATGCTGCTCACTCTAAACCTCCAGAGGAAGAAAATGGGTAAATCCAGATCATTTTGAGAGAAAAAAAAAAGATAAGGGCAGATTTTACAAGTGGCTGACCTCCCCTCAAGTGCCAGAAGGAACAAAGTACCATAGATAATACCTCAAGGGATAAGATATTGTTAAAGATAATCAGTATACTGTATATTATCCTCCAAAAGTTAATATTTAATTACTCAGTAAATAACGTGGATATAAATGGTGTCTTCACTGGTATAGAGTATTGTAATTACTGTATATAGCGTTGAGATGTTGTTTTGTGCCACTTCATGTAAAGTTTTCTCTCACTAAAACCTGAATGGATTTGGGCATGTTTTACGGTGACATAAGTAGGGAAATTTGTTTGTACATAAATGGTGTATCTTCTAACTGTACTGTAATATTGTTCTGGTATGTTTTATCTAGAAGTCCATTAACAGGGTCTTTGCTGGTTCCCACTGAATTTTCTAACACTCTTGGGGTTTTCATATGCAAATTTACGTATGAAGTAAAAAATTTAAATAAATTAATTTTGTTTGCGTATGAACGCTAGACACGCAAGACGCACATTTGGCAATGTCAGCGCTATCTGACAACTATGTAGACTGCACTCCAAGGTCACCACATTAGTCTCCATTTTGTATTTAACCTCTGCACCCCGGGCTATGGTGCCGCTGGCCATATCCTCCACGCGGGGTAAATTGAGAAAAATAATTTTTTACAAAAATAATTTTTAAATTTTTTAAATGATATAACAATAAAAAGAAGTAAGAAAAACTATATATTGACCCTCTAGAAACTTCCCTGGGGCAGCAGTGGTGAGGGAGATAAAGGGGCAGTGTTGTTTTGACTGAGCGCTCATGGTCACTACACACTTAACAGCCATTTTCTGTTTGCCTTTGTGTCTGGGCTGAGTAATGCACATATTTACTGATCATAAGACTATTTCTAATAAATAATTAATTTAGAATATTTTATTTGCATTATTTTTTCATAAAAAGCGCTTGGAAACACACTTGCAGTCGGTTGCCAGGCTGTCTTTGTGTTTGGCAGAGCAAGTAATGCATAAAGTAATAATAATTCCACAAATACATCCATTTATAACATAATCATAGCATTATTTTCCAGTAATACTATACTACAATGCAACTACACTACTTTTAGCCATACTGTATTACTTTGATACAACATGATAAAATGGACAAATGATTAAAATGAAACAAACAAAAGTAGGTACAGTACTTACATTCATTAAGCTTCCCTGTGGCCGAGCGTGACAGACAAATAGTCACACTGGAACCCGCGCTGGGTATTCAAACAATGCCGTGAAAAGGCACACGTTCTGGAACGTCAACCGGGACGTAGCGGTTAAAGGAACCAGGTTATAACATTGACCCACAATTCCCACACATTTAAATCTTTCGGCTTGTGCTGATTTCTTGTGCATCACTGTGATTTAATTTATTCATAACAGTGTTTTGAGAGTTTTGAACCGTGTGTCATGTTGCCGGCGAGGGTGGAGGGGTGGGAAAACATAAAAACTCCAAGAAAATTGCACCACGTGGTGATAGTGTGGTATCTGGTCGTGCTTATCAGAATACAAAACTTACACATTACCGAGCTAAATATTAATTTTTACATAACTTTTTGTCTATAACTATTTTTTCCTAAATATGTATGCTTTATAATAGAATAAGGTTCATATTGCAATCACATGAAATAACGAAGATACAAAGTGATGTACAAAGTGATGAATATGAAATACTTTTTACATACTCATGACAAAAACATTCACAACTTGCACAGGGAATCAGGAAGTCGGCGACAAGAGGATGCAGGAAGGAAGGGACGACGGCAGTTGCGTCGGCTCCACCCAGAGTAAGTGTATTTATGGCAACTCTTAACATTTACTCAGAAGATATGAATAAGGAAGCTTGAAGAAAATTAAAACAAAATATGCAGTCTTTCTTATATACTTATCATTCTATGACCTATTTGGTCACTTAACCCAAACTTTTCTTCGCTTAAAAGATGTAGTTTGGTGCATAAAACCTGATAATAGCATTAATTTCGGCTGTACTCGCCATCTTGAAGCTCCCGGGTCAGGAGGTGTAGAGTGTGGTGTAACTTACTGTGTTGTCACATCGGGTCATGTTTTCTACTCCTGGACTTATATCACTTTTATCACTTATATATGTCTGCTTTATTCATAACAGTGATAAGTGTATCAGATACAAGTTTATTGCTTCACACTACCATTGTTTAGATTATGAACTGGCAACAACAAGTCTCAATACTGACACACACACGACCTTGCAAATATGAATATCTTTGTTTTTCACCAAAGTTTCTTGCTTCTACAATAATATATAAGTCTTTACATATTTACAATTTTTTTTTTCTGTTTAGTAGTTTATGATGGTATGATATCGCTCAAAGCCGGGCATCAAGCACAGTAGAACAATCACACTCGCTGCAGCAATACCTAGTGTCCTTGTACACTTTAACATTGTGTTCTTGTATATATAACAAGGTCTCTGGGCATATATCTTAACATGTGCTGAAGGCAACAAATTTGGGAGGTGGTGAGGAGAGAGCAGCTGGGTGTAGTGGTGGATGGGTCAGTAAACAAAGTCCTGCTGTTCCCCTAATGGCCGTCTTGCTTTACTCTCTGTCTCCCTATCACACCTTGCCTAACAGCATCATCTGACTCAGAAGGGCATTTTGGAGGGGGACAGAGGTTGCTTAAACAGGCTGATGTGTCTTGAGATGTTGTCATTTGTTATATTCTACATGCACTACATGAATCCTTCTGGGCCATTTCAAACCAAGTACGGGTTGAAGAATTTAGTATTTTCAATTTATAAAATGTTCTTACTACAGTTAAAGAGTGATTTATTTCAACAGTGACTTCAATTTAGAAGCCAGGATTGAGGCCCTTCCATCTCTGAGTTTAGATGAGTTCACTCGGCGTAAGAAAGAGAGGAAACGTACGTCATCAGCATCTTCATCCACACATGCCACTAACCACTCTGGGACAAACACCAACTCCTTCCCAACTCCACCAACCACACGTGAGTTTCATGCTATTACTTTTACCGCCTCTGCTTTTGGGGAGTGCGGCAATAGAGTGGATACAGCACTTGCCTCCAGCCCAAGGGGTTGATGGTTCAGTCATGGGGTGTTACCATGTATTGTGGCACCTGAGGTCATACAAAGGTACTGTATTCTTTTTACAAGGGATCGGAATTTTAAAATTTAAGTAAATAGTGTTAATTCATCCTTGCAGTGTTGTAAACGGGTTCATCAATATAAGAAAAATACCAAAAGGATGTACTGTACTTACATTCAACTTTCATTGTAGCATGGTTGGAGAGTTGTCTGGAGTGTTGATGAGCAGGTTGGAGTGATAAAAGGTGTCTTGTTTGAGGCTACTGCACACAGCGAGTGGGAAGAGATTTCGACACAATTGCAGCACACATTTCTTACCTGAAGGCACTTTTATATCATATTCCTATCTTATAGCTACTACAAAACACAAAGTATTTATATTTTCCTCAAAAGAACTATAAAATACTGAACAGAGGTTGAAGGATGTGCATCCATCATGATATTTGGCGGGTAACTGACCACGAGGCACGAGTCTTGAGACAAATACTACGTGTGAGTTGAGTTGCCAATTAAACAGATATTCAATACAAAGTATTTTGTCCCTCCTGGATGTTAAAAATATTCCGCGAAAATTAAGAATGTTTAGGAGCGTCACCCGGGGTCACCTTAGTGAATGTAGAGGATCATCACTCAGGCTGTAAGGGTTACTGACTTGTAGAATAATTAAATACATTTAGAATATTTCATATGTTAATTATGCTGTGTATTAAGTTTTAAATCACCTTTATATACATTTTATGAAGACTATACTAATCTTACCATTTAAAGGGAGTGTTCGGCTGGAGCACGAAATTTGTTAATAATTGATCAATCAATATCAATTTCCTGTCAGATATTAAGGACACCAGATACATTGTTCTTATACTGTACCCCTGTATCGGTTCTGCCTAAAGCCTATGGTAATCCCTGATACAGTAATATCTCTGTTAGCCGTAATCCCTCAAACCCAGAACTCTCCGATAGACGGAATTGAAATTTTCTCGGAAAATTGTTCTGAAAGCTGTAATTTTCCGGAAAATTCCACCTTTCAGAACGATTTTCCAAGGGGCGCATTTTCTGGAGAATTCTGAGAAAATTTTCACGATACCTAGAAAATCACGGAGAATTCCGGGTGTGGGGGAGTTTTTTCCGGGTTTGAGAGATGAAAATCAGGCGCATTTTCTGGAAATTCTGAGAAATATTTTCCAGTACACGGAATATTCTGGGGATGGGGGATTTTATTCCAGTTTTGGGATATGATATAATGGGCTATTTCAAGAACTTTCGAGAACATGTTGTCTTTTACCTGGAAAATTCCGGCGGCGAGGGATTTTTTCATGGCTATGAGAGAGTCGTCTCGTTACCTGGAAATCTCTCATTCCCGGAAGTGCTCAGCACCAATTGTACCGGCAAATGGAGATATCACTGCACCTGATTTTTCCCTTATATTCTCATCAATTTTCAAAATCCTCCTACTTCATAACTTCTTGCTAGATTGCGTTAAAATTCATGTGGAGTATAGGTAATTTACTCCTCTTGAACGTGACATACGGGTATTTATGATTATTGCTTTCATTTTGGGTGCATGAACTTTTATCATAGCTTTCCATTTTTTCCTACAAATATTTTTAAAGATAAATCAGCAAATAATATGCCAAGTCAAATATAAAGACAATCTATATGTTCAGCCATGCACAATATGTTATTCTACTACGTACTTAATTTTTTTTTATTAGAATCTGCCCATAAATGGATGAACCTTAGGGATTTGAAGATTTGAAAAACTCTTTTGAGATACGGACCGATAATGGTGGGCCGAGAACAATATGTGGTCGAACCTCTCGCTCGCTTCTTTAATGAGTAACTGAGGCTCAAAACTCTCGTCCTGTTGATACTTAGCTGAGAAAGATGCCAGATACTGAGTTTTACCAAGTGATTATTGGTATTACTTTACACCAAAATACAGTGTTATCCTCGTTAGCCGGAACAGTTGGTGCTGAGCACTTCCGAGAATGAGAAATTTCCAGGTAACGAGACGACTCTCTCAAAGCCGGAAAAAAATCCCTCATTCCCGGAATTTTCCAGGTAAGGGAACAATGTTCTCGGAAGTTCCAGAAATTGCCCATTACATCATCTCTTGAACCCGGAAAAATATCCCTCATCCCTGGAATTTTAAGGGTATCGGAAAAATTTTCTTGGAATTGTACAGAAAGTGTGTCCCTCGGAAAATCGTTCCCAGAGCCGGAATTTTCCGGAAATTCCGACTTTTGGAATGATTTTCCGAGAAAATTTCAATTCCGGCTATCAGAGAGTTCGGGGTTTGAGGGAGTCCGGCTAACTAAGATAATACTGTATTGTTATAAATACTCTTCTACAGCTTTTGCTTCGTAAATAGAAGGGCCCTTTAAATAAAGGGGGGGGGGTGTAGAACAATCACGCATAGCTACATTAATATTAGGAATTATGCAATCAAAATACATCGGCATATAGCCAAAGGCAACAGCTTTCCTCAGGAATTTTTCAGAATATTTTCGTAATTTTCCAATTTTCATCTTTTTTTTCAGTCGGACGCTCCCCTTAAGCAAGTTAGTTTTCATTTTCAGAAAAAAACGGTTACTTGTTCTGAGAACACTTGACATATTATGTTGCATTTCGGCACATTAAGTCATAACGTAGATGCCGACCAAGGATCTGGGTCCAGAACTTAAATTGAATAATTTGTGTAAATTAAGGACTCTTGAAATAAACACATTAAAAATACTGTATTCAAAATAACATTTATACTGTGACTGTAAGTTTTAAATTACTTTTATATACTTTGGTGGTAAATATTTACTGTACCATTTAAGTACATTAGTCTTCACTTTCCAGGAAAAAAGCCGTTTACTCGCTCTGGAAATGCGTGATCTAACTTTACAAGTTCAAGAAGTGAAGGCAGTCGAGTGCAATGTCGACCACGCTGTCTCTAACAAGCAGTCATGGCTATTGAACCTACTTTCACAATACACTATTTTATATAAACTTGATATCTGGAGTATCATGTTGCTTTAAAAGTAGAAAAGAAAACATACTGTACTAATATTTTACCCTCTTATGCTCAGAGCCGACGGTAGGAGTAGTCAGCAGTAGCAGTCGTGTTTCTGCACAGGCAGACTCCACCTCTGACTCTCCATCACCTGCTTCGGCAACCTCAACAACTACTGCTGCAGTAGCAGGCAGAGCTACAGCTGGGGGAGTCAGCAGTAGTAGTAGTGGTGGTGGAAGTACAGGAGGTAATCTGTCTGATGGAGAAGCTGCTGCTTCCCCAACCCCTTCTTCTTCTTCATCCTCATCCTTCAGCACCCAGCAACACAGTCCTCCTCAGGCTCCCATTCTAGTTAGTGGAGGATCAGTATCACCAGGGGAAGCAGGACTGGTGGCAAGTTCTGATGGTGGACCCCTAATTGGTTCACAGAAGAGGAAGGCACGAAAACAGACTATTACGAGACATGATCCTGTTCATGGTTCGCTGCGTAGAGGTAAGTTGATTGTTATTTAGTTGAATATTTTTATATAGAGGAAGGTTTTTGTTATGACAGGTGAATCATACATTGACCAAATATTTCTTAACTGTATTCAGCTGGCAATGTACAAGCAACTAATCAGCCACTGACTTAAGATTGAAAATCTTTGAAGATTCGCTGGCCATGTTGAACATTTGACAAGAGTATACAGTAGTTGCAAGTAAAAAATGAAAAGGATAACTTTTAATATTTAATTAAGATTGACAAATAAATTATTGTAAATTTTAGTTAGCTTACTTGATGCTGTCCTTTGGCTAGATAGTGATTACTGCAATTATGTATGGACTGTATTACCTTGTGATTGTACAGTAGTACAAGAAATAGAGATTGATAAAAGATGAAGTACAGTACAGTATATTGATTTTATATGAAGTATGTGAGGATATGCACCTTACTATTCCCTCCTTTCCTATGTATGTAGCATAGGTTACTTCATCCACCATCAGAACTGCAAACTTATATGATTTTAAACATTCCAGTAACATTAAAATAGGTGTACAGAACTCTTAACCATAATGACTATAGTAAGTGTATACATGTGTAACTTTTTCTCTTCCCTTTACAGATACGAGTGTTGTTGAGCAGAGTGTCCTGACAAGCATGGGTCTGGCTGCTCTGGCAGAAGTGGCACTTAGTCAGCCAATTATGAAACTCTGAACAGGTTAAGGAGTGGTAAAGAGAACAAAGTTTTAAGTAGACTAAAGGAACCAGTGTTTGTATTATTACAAAGTATACTAGCACATTTACTGTTGTTATTAATAGACAATGCAATAGTAATTGCAGTCTGATATCCAAAAATCTTTATGAATTTTCTTTTCCAAGTTGTTAAAAAAAATGAAAATTTAATTTTCAAATTATAAATGGTTTTATACATGATTAAGATATATTTATGTATCCCATGTTGAACTGATTGGTCTTCAAATTACCCTGGCCTAAATGTGCATGACTCAAACAATAATTGCCTCAGTGGAAAAACCATATACAGTAATTTGTTTTCAGTTCTGGAATTTCTTCAAAGTTCTGTGATCTCTAGTGAGTCTGAAACTAAAAAAACAAACAAAACAAAACAAAGAATTCCTAACTGAACTGAAAACTTTCTCTGTCTGTGACTTAACTTGAAGTTGGCTGTGGAGAAGTACCGGGGTAATGGGCATCCTGTAGCCGACACCAGAGGCCATGTTTGTGCTGCCTTATTGGCTGTTAAATTTCTCCACATCTTTGACCTCTTGAGCTGGTCTACAGGAGTAACATGTTACAGTGATTTTTGAGAATTTATCTGCATATAAGACAGTACCTTTACTCCCATGACAGCTGCAGAGTTAAGATATTTCAAGGAGAATTTTAAATATATATATATTTGTGCAGTATTTAGATGGAAACAGCGATGATTGTGCTCAAGTTGCAGGGTGATTGAAACAATATGTGTGATGGTGTCTGTGATTTGTAATAGCTTGTTTATGCTTAAAGTCTTTCTGTATCGGGATTCTGTGTACTCATATTTGACCAAATTCTTAAACCTTGAAGATAAGGAAAACAATTTGCTAATCATTACAGGAAGTGACCTTTTGTAATCAGTAAGATTGTTAGCTTGTTTTCTAGCCCTCAAGAAAAAGTTTAAGAAAGGAATCAGTGATCTTAATTGTTTTTGAGTCACTAGTACTTCAACTGTGAAGTGTGCTTCAGTATTGTCTGCTCTTTCACCAAGAACTGAGAATCATGAATCTCTAACTTTCCCTGGTGCTTGGGTAATTAATCCACAAAATTTCTTCAAATTTAATGGACAGGCTGGTGAGAGGAATGGGAGGACTGGTCCATGCCCCTCAAAGGCAGGTTTGGTTTGAAGCACACCACCCTATTTTGCCAAATATATAAGCCTTTTACAAATTTTGAACTATTTTCAGGTCTATGACTAAGGGAACATGAAGTACTGTGTGAAGATCTTCTTAATATATAATGTTGTAATTTTGATAATTAGTTTATTGATAAAACTGAACTAGAAGTAAAAGCATAGACAGTTGATGTCATCACCTTAGGATCTCCCTATCCTCAACTACTGCCTTTTCCCTTGACATTGTTACAATCCAGAGAAACATCGTTTGTGACTGGTGAGCACCGTAGCCAGGTGCCAGTGTCCTACACCTCTGAGGTAGCATCTGTGTATTAATAGATTTATCTTTGTTTTTGTTTCTTTCCCTCTCTTAGCCTGTTGATAATTTTCTATTTACGGTTACAGCCTGTTAGATATTTTGTATCCTCAGTTTACCATATCCACTTTTAAAAGAGTGAGTATATTATTATTTTTAGCACTTGTTCAGAACATTATCATTTCTTTATAGTTTGCCAGCATTAGGTGTTCTATTGTGGATAGTCAGTGTGACAAATATAAAGAATATATTATTGATATAAAAGTATATTGATTTAAATGTCAAGACAATTTCCACCAGCAATTAGTGATGAGGAGTCAGCTTATTGTAACAGGTAGATGCTCACACATATACTAGTATCACCAACTGTTGAGGATAAAAATTAATACAAAGCCCGTACCTGATTCTTAGGGAAGTGTATATCTGTTGAAACCCTTTAGTTATCAAGATGTTTCAGGTGCAAACTGTTGGTTTTTACATCGTAATGTAGAAAAATTGAGGGCTTCAGTGTAATGGTTTACACTCACTGATTAAGCCTGCGTATTTTAGTGTGTTCATAGCCTTTTACTAATATGTACTTCCACTTTCACTTAAGTGCACTTGCCAGAAAGTTAGACCTGATAAAGTTGCTTGAACTGAAATTTCTCAACTTTCAAAAAGTTTAAATATTTATACAAATTTCAGTTTAAACTACAGGTACAGAACAATTATTGGGGCTTAAACTTTTACAAGAGTTGCAGTTTTGCTGTTGGTGGTAGTACTATGGAGGAAGAATTTACCCTATCTAGTTTGTTGAGTAGTCTGTTATTGATATTTGTGACACTATGAGCGATTTGGAACCTGCTCAGGTGCTTCAATAAGGCTGAGGTTGCTGAAACTGTGAACATGAATGCAAGCCTTTACAGATAACCTGGATCTTAGGGTCAAGTCGCTGATCTCGTCACGTATAATTGATGATTTGAGTAACTCATTTGGGAAAGACAAGTGTGCATTTATGTATTATATTGTAATATAAAGAAGAGTAAAAAATTCCCTATATATGCAGATATATATGAATGATAATGTTAATAAATCTATTTATTCTAAACTACGAATGACTTTTACACTATTCAACATCCTTTATTATACCCTTGGCTTGTACCAGACATACAAGTTAAGTGACACCATTATCTAAGACTACATTTGGCTATGGAGCAGTAAACGGAATTCCTAAATCATTAGGAGAAAGTACCACGAGATTTTTTTACTCTCAATAATATACAAGTAATCTCCCTGTTAGCTGGATTCCTGGTCCCTGGAACTCTCTAGGGGCCGGGCATCTTTTCTCAGCTGGGAAAAACGCACTATAGTTTAGAGTCTCTGGAAAACTCCCTTGTACAGAGTGGAAATTTCCAGCGGGGCTGTGCTGCAACAGGAAATCCAGGGCATTCTCGCCCCCATCGTCTTCCCCTCCAAACGGGAATGGGACAACTGGCCGCCGCCATCTGGCCGCAGCCCAGTTTGGTTAGGTTTGGTTAGGTTAGGTTAGGTTAGGTTAGGTTAGGTTGTCAACAAAAAGTTCCATATGGCGGCCAGTAAAAAGCAGCGAGTTTCCCGCAGCCAGTGAGGCTGCGGCCAGATGGCGGCGGCCAGTTGTCCTAGACCCCCTCCAAACGCCCTTAAACCCATGAATTGAACTCCAGTGCTTTTGACTGAGAGTTGCTGGCCACATAATATGCCATACACCACTTCCAGCACATAGAGGCCCATCCATTCACCATCACCACAGACCACAAATCCATCACCCATGTCCTCCACCGACAGACCAACCATCATTCCCACCGGGTCACCAGGCAGCTCTCAGACATCGCCAAGTTCACCTCTGATGCCCTCTCCCTCAACATCTTGGCCGTCCACCCTTCATCAGGAACCATCGACTACCCTGCCATTGCCCAAGCACAAGGAATCCAGGTAAAAAAGTCACAGAAAAAAGTCACAGGAAAAAAAAGTCAGGAAAAAAAGTCACAGGAAAAAAAGAAAAGTTAATTATCGAATTCTGCCAATGACCATGAACTACAACACTTCACCACCTCACCCTCCTCACTCGACATGGAAATCCCAGACTTTCAAATCCACCTATGGTGTGACACCTGCAGTTGCTCCTGGCTCTTCATACCCCTCCCCTGTTGGAAAGCCATCTTCAACCATTTCCACAACCTTGCCCATCCAGGGATACACCCCTACATCACGCTTGTAACCACGCTGCCACTTCCCAGCACCAAGCTGCACTGTACATCCAATACAATATGTATACAGAGAGCACATTGTGAGTTTCCTTTCTCCATCCCATCCTGAGTACAAACCAACAACTCGTTCCCCACAAATGGTGACCCCCGGAGATTCGCACTCACACAGGATGGAGGAGAAACCGATCACTCTCCCAGTCTTCAAGCAACATGGAAGACTGGCTTATCCACACAGAGGCAGCTCTCATCGGCTCTACAGCTACTGTCTCTACACCGCAGGTACACCCTAGAGCAGCTCTGCGACTCTAAGCAGACAGCCTCTCCTCTTCCTGCCCCAAGCACCACGTCCTAGTTAGAGAGAGTATGTGAGAGGCAGAGAGTTTGTCAGTGGTGGAGTGTGTTTGTCAGATGTAAAGAGCTTTTGTGACAGGTAGAGGGAGTTTGTGAGAGGTAGAGAGCATTTGTGAGAGGTAGAGAGAGTTTGAGAGGTAGAGAGCATTTGTGAGAGGTTGAGGCAGGCATATATACTTCAATCTCAACTCTATGGTCTCACATAAGGTTACAGAAGCAAAACATTTCAGTCTGATTGAGTGGGGTTCAGACTTGCTCAGACAATTGAGGCATTCAACACATGATCTTGAAGGCATTGCGGGCTCCATAATATGGTTCCGCAAGGTTGGGGATCACTGCTGCACAGTATATATATAAATACTACATATACAGGGTCTTGAATATTGTATTTGGACAGTAACATAAACACAGGTGTCAAGATTTCTCCTGTACGATTTTAAAGAGAATTAGTGATGATTGTGTGTGTGTTAATATATTGATGTAACTGTGACCATGACAGCAGAATGGTTAGAGCAGGCAATTCTTTAATATAAATTACTGTACTGTAGTTGTATACTGTACTGTATATAGTTGCATGGATTAATAATGAACACTCGTCACAATAGGTCCTCCAACAGCTGGGCACGACAGATTTCAGAATGAGCACTATGGCTCGTATCATCTCAGGCTGGTCGAGATGCCTGGTGTAACCCATATCTCGCTTGTTGTCTACCAGTATGGAAATCCGTAGAAGCTCCGGCGAGACAGAGAGGTGCCAGTCTTCTCCTCTCACCACCCACTTTCCCCTGCTTCGATGCCATCAAAGTGACCAATCACATTTTTAGAATAGAAACGTGACATCATAACCAAGGTTGTATACTGAGCTGCCACACCCTTCTGCCTCTTCCTCCTCTACACTCTAGCTGACTCATCAACCTGTGGTGGTCCTCTCCAGTCTCATTACAACCCAGCTAATTTACAGTATGCCAAGTCACTTACATATGTATTTTCTCTTAGGTCTAGGGACGTGGCAGCCTTAGATACGAACTGAGTGTAACAATTGTGTCCTACCTTGTGATTATTCATATTAGGGCACAACAATTTCCTGGCCAGTGATCTTACTAAGTGCTACTCTGATTGCATGCCGTCACAGTATTCTTGTTCTTTTTGTTTAATTATCTCTCAGAAGTGATTTTCTGAAGCCTAGAAACATCATTACACTTATTATTTATAATTTTTCTTGGGATCACAACTTATTTATTCACGAGGTGGAACTTATGGTTAACTTTCTTACCTACTGTAATATTAGGTTTTGAGTGTTTTAGGAATTCTGTATTATTTTCACTTCTTTAATTTATGAACCATAAATTCTTTCCCATTCCATTGGTTGCAAAGTGACTCAATATTTGGTAAAAATATAGGTTGCTTGTGTTTATTGTATTTACAGGTGAAAAGTAATTTAATTTGCAATATAACATCTTACAAGAACAATGTTCTCATGTCTCGTTTGTTTTGTTATATTGTACGACCATTAGAGCGTTCAAAAACTTTTTGTGGCAGGTGTACAGTACAGTACAGGTACTCCTCGACTTACAACAACCCGGACATAAGACTGCCGTAGTCGTATAAAATATTTTTCAAATTACAGTACGCATTTCCTAGTACCGAAACGTTTCCGTCCCGTACGACAGCGTGGGCTGGGCCGCCTCGTAGTGTACAGCATACATGCCATAGCCCGCTCAGTTGGTGTTTGGCCGTCGTTGTTGTTAGTACACGACAGTTGTATCAAGTTATTACATATTTTCATTCATTTCACTCTTACAAAGAATCCCTAATAATTAAAAATTTTCTAATAAACCCTTGCGGGCTCCAAAACATGGTTCTGCGGGTGCCCATGAACTACAGGTTGGGGTCCACTAGTATAGATGGTATAAAATTATGCATTTTGTATACTCTACTGTATCTTCAACAAAAAATTGTGGTATTATCTGTGCAGTTGAACATGTGTACTGTATAAACTTTTATTTTGAACACTCTAAAATAGAGTATACTTAACCTTTTACCTCTCTGAACAACTTGAGGAACAGCTAGTGTACAGTACATTAAGTTCCTAAAAATGCGAAGTTATACGAAACAACATTAAGCGGATCAATTTTCCCCGTAAGAAATAGATAAAATACGGGAGTTACGTTCCTGAGCCTCCCTTTGCCCCATGAAATACATATACAGAAAATCATTGCCATTTTTATAGAAAATAATGCATACATATACAACTACTAAGTTTGTATAGGTACTCACCGATGGGCGGAGGCGGTAGAGCGAGTGTGTGGTGGGTAGTGCAGCAGAGGAGGCAGATAGTGGGAGGGAAAAAGTATGGCGGGAGCAGAAGAGGAGGGTGGGAGCGGAGGAGGGCAGGAGAGGAGAAGGGTGGTGAGTCACTGAGACTCTGCGCCAAGCCAAGAGAGCATAGCGCGGCCAGACGAGAGCGGGTGATGCACCGTAAAATGTAGTCTGTGACGACGCAAAACTACGTAGTATTGGATCACCAGGACGCTAAACGAGTTTTTGGTCTCTAAAGTTTAGCGACGTAGTACCAAAACAACGTTAAGCGCGAACTTACTGTACTGCAACTGAGACCTGTAGTATGTTTTAGTACAGTCAACCCTCACTTTACGCGGTCCCACATTCCGCGTTTCCACGTTTACGCGGTGCCCTGCCAGAACCCAGGATGCTCACATTCCGCGGTGGGTGTACCCCTTTACACGGTGAAGTATAATTTTTTTTAATTTAGCTCATAAAATTCATACAAATTATCCGGCCAGAATATAATTTACATTGCTGGAATTCTTACAATTTGATGATCATTTTGAATATAAACATCATAGATTTTGCATTAGACATACAAATTTTAGATATAATGTTTACTCTTGAGTAAATATGTTATCTTTTGTGCAAAATATATGACAATTGAATTACAAGGTAATATTGAGGAGGCATTATCCCAGTCAATGCAATGCTTATTATCTCTCATATGAATGAACAGAGCATTGGATTCCTGGTCTGTCCTAACACAGCATCAAAACAATCAAATATTATAGTAGTAGTCAATAACTTCCTGCAGCTTTTAATATAGTGTTCCTTTTTTCTTCACGGGATCTCAGAACAATACTAACTATAAATAACAACTAATATGGAACAGCATAATAATTCATACCTCGTAGAGTTTGATCCAGATATGCATTACAACAGAGGTTTCTTGATATGCTGCTGATAATTTTTGTTTGTGAAATGGTCACAACAAACAACTTAACTTGTACAGTATTCAGTTGTGCTGGTGTCTTTCCACTAATGTCTACTGCTTTCATTGTCATAATTGTCATTTTTCATTATAAGCATCTGGACAAAGACATACTGTAATATAAGTCTTGAATTTTTCACAAAATATCTAAATATCACTATAAACCTTGTGTGTAACTAAAAACAATCTCATAAGCTTTCAGAGAATTCTTTATACTAGGAGAATGATGTTGCATTATCTGCTTAACTGTTAGTGGTGTGCAATGTAACTTCTTCACTTATAATAATGATTAATTTATGCAAAGGTTGAACAAAATTATATACAGTGGCTATTTGACTGCCAGTCCTGTGCACACATTGACTACATTATTGCATCACAACTAAATACAGCATTGTAGTCTCAGTATTGGCTGAAATAATGAATAATAAAAAAATAATTAAAACAAAACACCATGGCTATTATTTATTATGCAAAAAAGTTAACACATTTAATATCTTTCCCATATAAATTATGGTACTCAAGTAACATAATAGTACAAGCATAGTAATTTTGTATCAAATGTAATAAACACACAATATATCCTATGTAAAATGGGGAAAAAAGAAAAGCTAAGAAAATTGTTTGAGCCTATTCAGTAAAACATCACACGAGGATTACAGTGCTGAAGTAGAAAAGCCATAAGTTCCTAAACATATATTAAATTTACAAAGAGCTACAATATTTGCGACTAGGTATTAGTGGCATTTTTGTATATATCTAAATATGTGCATTACCTTTAATAACCTGCATGAACTATTCCCATCTGGATAAAAACACTGGAGCCATGCTCAAATATTCTAATGTTTATATAATCTTAAAGGCATAAAAACTTATATAAAACACACTTAAATTTACACTACCATATTTTGACAGCTAGCAGCAGATACAACAAGACTATTTGACATAGACTTAACCTATTTAATATATTACTAACTGGCTCCATCCCTGGCTAGCCATGACTGCCTCTCCTGTTGTGCTTCACCTTGTCCACCAATCCCACAAGGTCACCTGTGAACCTCAATACCATACTGTACCTCAGTGTCCCTTGACCCACGTGCATGCGAGGGCAAGTAAGTGCTCAACACCAAAGCACCAAATGTGAAAACGTGACCGGAGTGACATGAGAACGGTTACTAGTACTCTGGGGGTGTCCATATACAGCCTAGATACTCACCACTGTACACATTTTCCAGTGAGAGGTGATTGACTGGCCTGGGCACATGGAGCTCAACACAGCCGTTTCGAGCAGTCATCACAGCTTGAGAAGGCTTCTCTGCTGCTGCTGCTCCCACCAACACAGTGAGGGAGGTCAAGAGCTTAACATCACAGTCAGGATCAATACTATCACACCTGGGAAGCTCAAGTTAACACATCATTTTATGCTCTATCCATGACACTGTGCCCCAGCATGTGACTCACAACCACCACTTTTAGGAAACAAGTCGGGAAGGGAAACAATTGAAACTTTTAAACAAGTTTTAATAAACTCTTGAATTGTCATATTACTATCTAAGAAATTTATTAAATAATTATACAAAATATATATTTAACAAACACCGAGAGGTATAAAATCGCATGCTGGGGCACAAAATCGAAGAGAAACAGATGTGTACTGTTGGCAAACAAGATTACTAGTCTCCATTAAGCTCAGCAAATAACCACATAGATCAACCTCATAGGTGCTCTGCCATCCTACAGCAGGACAAGAACAGAGATCATCAGTCTGTATGTAACAAGGGTATGCGAACCAGGCAATACATCGCCTCACTTCACAATATTGTTCATCGTGTGCCTCAAAAGGCCATCTCGTCACATGTGAACCACATGCTTCTGGCACCTCAATCTGAGGCAGCGAGGACATCACAGAGCACACGACTGTGCCATCTGACACAGACTTATTCTCGGCTTCCATGATAGGCATGGAGGGCAGTGTGTGCACGTCAGGAAGGTTGTCCCACATAGGTGAGACATACACAAAGGCAGGTTAGCCAGCACAGGGGGATCACAAGGTCATATAACCTATGACCTTCACACATCACACAAACTCGAAAAGCTAATCTTCTGCCTCCAAGTCCAAACCAGAAAACTTATTGGTTGTATCAAGAACCTAAAAAAAGAAAAGAAAAAAAGAAAAACATTAATTAAAACATGTAATTTTACACACACACACAAGTAATATCTCCATTGGCCGGAATCCCTCAAACCCAGAACTCTCCAATAGTCGGAATTGAAATTTGCTTGGAAAATCATTCCCAAAACTGGAATTTTCTGGAAAATTCCAGTTTTGGTTATGATTTTACCGGTCTGCACGAATTTGACATGTTCCCTAACCTGTTTTTAATGTTGATTTCAGACATGATTTCATTTTTCATCTATCATGCAAGGTTTATTGACAAATGGAATCCTTGAGGCAAAGGCCATTGTTCAGTGTTGCATCAGCAGCTGTAGTGTTAAATCTCCCTGTTTTGCTCTACTAAGATACCATTCCTGAAGTAAATATGTCTTCTCGTGGATGTTTGAACAATCTAAACGTATTCTGCTACATGTGTGAGGGCTTTGTTGTACATAAACAATGACAAGAAATAACCGCATTCGTGAAAAATGCCTACTTTGGAGTGAAAATAGGTGATTTAGATAAACCATGGGTGCCACATAAAGTATGTCGCACTTGTGTTGAAGGTTTAAGACTGTGGAAATAGGGTAAGAAAAAAGTTATGCCATTTGGAGTCCCTATGGTATGGCGGGGGCCTAAAAATCATGGTGATGACTGTTATTTTGCTCTGTGAAGATAGTGGGATATAATGAAAAAAATAAACAAGGAATCATTTATCCCAACATTCCATCTGCCATGAGACCAGTGCCACATGGTCCTGAGGTTCCAGTCTCCATTCCGCCAGATGTGTTGCAGTCCGTGTCATCAGAAACTGACCGTGATTCATCGTCAGTTAACGGAAGTGATGTTTATCAACCTGAAGATGCGGTTAGGGATTTAAATTTACCAAAGGAGTCTGCTGAACTTTAAGGACCTAGGTTGAAATCAAAGAATTTATTGAGCAAAGGCACATATTTTTCATGGTATAGGCAATGTGAACAAGAACTAGTTAATTACCTATACAGCTACTGAATGGAGGCTGTTCATTGATTCTTCAAAAACAAGTCTCAAAGGAGTTTTACTTCATAATGGAAATGTATTTTCATCAATTCCTGTGGCTCACTCTGTTCATCTTAGGGAAACTTATGAAAATTTGCAGATACTTCTAGAGAAAGTTCATTATAAAGATCATGGTTGGTTGGTTTGTGGAGATTTCAAAGTCAATGCTTTGTTGCTTGGTCAACAGAGTGGACACACGAAAATGCCAGGTTTTTCGTGTGAGTGGGACAGCAGAACAAGATGTAAACATTGGGACAAAAAACACTGGCCACCTAGACAGGCTCTTGTGCCAGGTTCAAAAAATATTCTACATGAACCATTGATTGACCCTATGAAAGTGCTGTTGCCTCCTCTACATATTAAATTAGGGTTAATGAAACAATTTATAAAAGCCCTGGATAAGGAAAGTGATTGTTTCAGGTACATCTGCAGGGAATTTCTATCAGTCACATATGAAAAAAATCAAAGCTGGCATTTTCGTGGGCTCTCAAATCCTAAAGTTAATGTTGGACCACCAATCTGAAGAATCGATGAACCAGTGTGAGAAAGAAGCATGGAATCGTTTCAAGAATGTTGTGTATAGTTTTTTAGGCAATAGAAAAGATCTAAACTATCAAAACATTGTTGAAGGTATGTTGAATAACTTTAAAAACATGGGTTGCAATGAGTGTAAAAGTGCATTCCTTACATTCCCATCTTCGAGTATTTTCCTGAAAATTTATGTAGTTTAAGTGAAGAACAAGGTGAAAGATTTCACCAGGACATTAGGGAAATGGAAAAGAGGTATCAAGGAAGGTGGAATGTGAACATGATGGCAGACTACTGCTGGATGCTGAAGAGAGGTTGTGCCAGCAAAAAGATTGCCAGAAAATTGAAAAAAAAAAAAAAGTTTCACCCATCCTAGGAGCATAATATTATGATCATACATATTCATATACTGTGTATCATTTCTTTCTGTATTTGCAGACAAATGGCCTTAATCATAATAATCTTTAGGTTTAGTTAACTTTGAAGCCTACTGAATTGTCTTATTTGTAATATCTTGTCATATTTGTATATGTTTAAGTCATATTATCTTGTCTTATTGGTAATAAAGTGAGACGTGATAGACCAAAACAAAGTTTATTTTATAAATCCTTGATAAGAAACCAATCATAATCACATCTCAGTTTAAAAACATCATTCACCTTTTCTTAAAATGCAGACCGGTGTTTTCTGAGGGGCACATTTTCTGGAAAATTCAGAGAAAATTTTCCCAGTACCTGGAGAATTCCGGGATGGGGGAGTATTTTTTCTGGATCTGAGAGATGATGTAATGCACAATTTCTGGAACTTCCGAGAACATTTTTTCGTTACCCAGACAATTCTGGAAAATTCTGAGAATGAGGGATTGTTTTTTCGGCTTTCAGAGCTGAAATAACGCAACATTCTGGAATTTCCAAGAACCTTTTTTCCGTTACCCGGAAAATTCCGAGGATGAGGAATTTTTTCCCGGCATTAAGAAAGTCGTCTCATTACCCGGAAATCTTTCATTCCCGAAAGTGCTCTGCATCAATTGTTCCAGCTAACGGAGATATCACCGCGTGTGTTTGTGCGTATATATGCACAAACAAAAGTATCAGTTTTATCTTTATTCTTCAAAATTATCTATTCAATGAATCACTATCTTTTTAAATACTGTACAGTACATTAATGCAGTGAACAACATATGGAGAGAGAGCTTTGGGGAATCATTTAATGCCAAAGTCCATAGTAATATGTGTCACTCTTCAAAGATTAGATACTGTATAAATAAGTAGAGTATAACATAAGGACACAGCACTAACCGGTTCGTCATCCTTGGGCAGTTGTGCCCGGCGTGGTGGCGGTGGCAGGTCGTTGTCCACAGAACTGCGGCCACCACCCCCACCGTGATGATCATCTTGATCTCTTCTGTCCCGATCATCCAGATGGGGTTTTCTTTCCTTCAATAACAGATAATAAAATATAATGAAAAAGACAGTTAAAATAATAATAATAATAATTTTCTAAGAAAATGGTAGATGGATCAGCTGTGGTAGACACTGTACTGTACTGCAGATGTGTACCAAGTCATGCCCCAGGATTATAATGAGTACAGTACAGTACTCAGGAAAAAATCACCTGGCCAGTCATCTTTACTCACCACTCTACCTTCCCGAGGATTGATCTGCCGTTCGCTCGGTTGGTCGTCGTGGTCTCCTCGGCGAAGGTCTCGCCTGTCGTCCCGGATGTCGTCGTGGTCTCCTCGGCGGTGGTCTCGCCTGTCATCCCGGTTGTCGTCCCGACGCTCAAACCGACGGGGTTCGTCTCTTTGTGGAGAACAATCGAGGAGTCGTGTGAGTAATGAGGAGATAACTATTTTCAAGGTAACTATTACACAATATTGTGGGGGAATTCAAGGTTAGAGGGAAGTACTGAGTACTGGAGTATGAGTCTCTCATTGGAACTTATAACCAAAAGTCGACCAAATAAACTTGCATGATTCCAGAAGAGATTGTACTGAAGCAAAGCAATTTGTAGAAGGTTGCACATACTGTACTGTATAAGCTGAACTGTAATAAATATTGTAATATTTTGTGTCTAGTACTGGGACAATATCATAGCTAATATAATAAGCAGGCCAGTAGCTAGAAGTATAAAGAGAAAGTCTTCACATAAACAATACCTAAAAATGAATCCAACACCCGTTAACACACCAGAGTTCAATCACTTACTTGCTACCCCCACCATCATATTTTCGTAGCTTCTCTTCAATTTGGCGTTCACGAGCAGCCGTGTCCACAGGCTTGGCATTTCCAAAAATACCACCACTACTACCACCACCACCACCACCACCACCGCCTCCTGTTTCTCTGCAGATTATAAGATATCCATTATGTTACAGGAAACAATAACTTCAGAATAACTGTTACACATTACACTAAAAGAAATGAACTGTTTATCATATCAGTACGAGTTGATTAGCTCTGTATAACTGGTTAGTCTTGAGCCCCAACCTGTGTAAATAGGATATTAAACTGTCTTTTAGAAGGTTGAAACTTTAAACCTTCATAAAACTCACTACCTTTACTTTATATATTCCTGCCATACACAGGACCAAAGTCAAGCCATATGTTATACTAACCGCTTGACAGGAGGTTCCTTTGTGATGTGCTTGTTTTCAATTTCTTTTTCGCGAGATGCTGTATCTACAGGTCGAGCTGCTCCAAAGATGCCACCGCTGCCGCCACCACCACTGCTGCTGCCGCCGCCGCCGCCGCCACTGCCACCACCACCACCACTGCTGCCGCCGCCGCCACCACCACCACCACTGCTCCCACCACCACCACTCAGTGCTCCCCGCCACCGCTCCCACCGCCACCGCCACTGCTCCCACCGCCACCACCACTGCTCCCACCGCCGCCGCCGCCACCACCCCCACCACTATTCAAACTGGATTCTTTCTTCTCTTCACCTCCTGCACCACCTCTAGGTATCAAGTTTAACCTAAAAAGGAAAATACAAATATTAAAGCACCATCATATTATACAGGACAATGAGAAGATGGTTGGGGCTAGCATGTAACAGATAACAACAGTGGAAAAGTTGGTAAGTTTTCATATTGCCACATCTCGTACCTGTGCCCTCCCAGCCCGTGGTACATTCAAGTGAAGGCAACTGTACATGAAGGTGAACTGATGTACATCAATATACCATCCCACATACACAATGGAAGGGGAAAAAATGGAAGTGATTGAGCACAGCCAACGTGTGACATAAAAGTGTACCCGTGAAGAATCTGTGAAGATGTGTAAAGATCAGTTTGTGTGGGAAGTGATGCCATGTAAGAGATATGTAGAAACACAAAACAAGTTCAGAAAACTTACTTAGGACGTTCTCTTGGTCCAGAACTTTCCCCGCCGGAGGAACCCCTTGGTCCTTCACGGTCACGTCTCCAAGGATTATCTTCACGGAAACCTCCTCCTCCTGCTCCTGCTCCTCCTCCTCTCCGGTCATCATCATAGCGACTTCCACTACCCCCAAATCGTCCACCTGTATTTTGGAATTTAATGAAAACTTTGCGCATGGGATAAAGAGAAGAGCAATAAAAAGAATGTCATGGTGAAATTACACAAGGCTGCAGCTAAACTAAAACTGTACGACTCCTTCAACCAATGAGGCTGCAAGAAGACGCCTTTAACCTGGACAGTCCTGGGTTTGATCCCAGATAAGGAAATGTTTCAGTTGCACTAGATATATGCAAGATAATGTGCACTGTATCTATTTGCATAGGACATGGCAAAATGGCGATAGAGATGCATAAATGGAGGAAGAAGTAATGTGCTGTATGCTGGAGGTACAGTAGAGCGGTGCGGGGTGTTCGTTACAAGTTGAGGGAAATTGACACACTTGAGCAGAGGTAACATGTGTATGAGAAAGGTGCCAAAATGGATTTAGTGTCCAGAGAAGTTCAGTGAGCTTTGAGTTCTGGTATGACTTGTTTACAGAAGGCACAGAATGCGACTGTGGTAACCCAATAGGAGAGATGAAAAGACAATTATGCTGTTGTAATATATGACTACATTTACATATCATAAATCTAAGGTGCAAGAAAAACATCCCGACTCACTACTGCATAACATGAATTTGGACAAAATGATTATAAAAACAGCATGCCCAGAAATGAAGCAACAAAATACACCCAAGACAACTTAACCTTGAAGACACAGAACCAAACACAGATTATGAACAAAGGTAAAGTATCACATAAGCAAAAGATTGAATAGATGTGTGAAGCAAATAGCGAAATAATATATACTTTACTGTTTCTTCTATGTGACTACCGCTGTACAGTATAAGTGGTCACTGTTATTTGCCTCACCTTTACACATAATCACATAATCGTCACTCATCAACAGAGGAATACTTCAGATTACTTGCCGAAACTGAGTAATAAGTCGATGCATGGGCTACCTATATAGTTTATGCAGTACGTACTTTATTATTATCTGTTAAGGTCTACTGCGTTGTGTTTATTTTAAGTCGAACTTTATTACTGAAAAATTAAAATACTATGTTGCTTATTCTTTAGTTTATTATAGGTTACAGTGACTAGGACTTGGATATTAACCTCTCCCTCTATTAACTTACCTCTCCTGAATGTAGTCCCCCATATTATATTATTTCTTATGGTAAAATATTTCCCTCTTACCATAGTCACTTCATTATTTGTCTCTACACGTATTCAACGATCTACAGCGACCCTGACAAATAGCTGGGACCAACTGCATGATTATTATACCAACTCTATTTTCAGTAAAGCAAGTAAAAACAATAAATAATGAAGGACTGAATTATGAAGCCCCAATTTGCGAATAATGGATCCGAGTTAAAAAATAAACCTTATATAATTTGATTACCGTTCATGTTATCAATGATCCAGTATTGTTCCACTAATTATTAAACAATGTGTGTTTCAATTATTTAAACTTCTCTTCTCACGTTGGTACCGTATATCACTGAAATCTGTCAAAATTCATAATTCTTGAAAATTTCACTTTATGTACTGTAGTTACTTTCGGACATACAGGTACAGTAATGATCTCAGGATCTGAGTTTAGAAGCTACAGTATAACTTTCCAAACAGTGTTGTAATTATTGTCAATTGATGATCCTTGAAATAGTTTCACTCATCTTGTAGTTATTTTGCTAATTACATAATTTGAGAATGTGTTAAATGTTATATTTATGAGTTTTATAGTAAGAAGCAAGGTTCAGATCTATTTGAAACCTTAATTTCAATACAGTAGACCCTTGCCAACCATGAATTCCACGTATCCACAGTTTTCACTCTGTACATTTCACCGACTGTGACATTTAGTTTTATATTTCAGTGGATTAGCGTGGCCCCTTTTTTCCTCCACACGGCATCCCATTTCCCGCCACTGCTCTCCGCGTTCTCAGTGTCGTGATCTCGTAGCGTGCGGACGTACTGTGCTGTTCTGTATTCTCTCACTTATTGTTTACTGTAATATTTATTTTACCTTTAACTATGGCCCCTAGGTAAATACCCTTCTACTCTACTGTAAAATTTAATATTGTTGTACCATTTAATTCATATTAAGCTACTTTTATATGTATCCGACTCAAATTTAATTAAATACAAGTAATATTTTGTAAAGGAACAGTCAAGTTAGTTAGGCTTTGACGAGTGTTATCCACAGCCATGGAACCTGACCCCCTATTTCCCATAAGCCTTTAGTCTTGCCAATTGCAGCTGGTGAGGGACTACTGTAATAATAGAAACTACTGAAAGATCAGAGTGTACTATACCTGTACATTACTGTACTTAATATAATTCCACTTCTTTTAACTTGTAAATGTTTGTGAAGCAATATTTATGAATTTTCTAGTTAGAATCAAGCTTTTCAGAAATATAAAACCCTTACTTTACAATAATAATAATGATAATAATAATAAAATAGTCAAAACAAAACACCACTTTCTATTATGTGTATCTGCCAAGAGTCCCAAATTTTCCAGAATATCCCAAACTATGATCACATAATATACTGTACAGCTCTGACAAGTAAAAGAGTTAAGTTAACTTGCCCAAATACACAGAAAATAAAGTAGAAGAAAGTACAGACTGTACACGTTTTGTTCTGTGAAGTGATCTGGAAAATGAACTAAATCTTGACATAGTGTATAAGCTTATGTAACAACACCCCTTCTCCCCTACATAGGTAGGTCTTGAATGGTCATCACACACTCCAGTACACTAAAACCTCCATAATTCTTAATATGTCATAATTTGGCTATTTTCAGAAATTTCGAACTTGAATGCCAGTAGCTACAGTATAAATCAGACTAGCATAAATAGAAGAAATGTGTTTCCAGTGTCTGTACAGTCCTGTACTGCCCCAGACTCATGTTTAACACCTTCATGACAGTCAAATCATATTCACCAAATATTGTAAAACAAAACAGTACTACAAGTACTTCATAAATAAATTAAAAACAAATTCCAAACTCATTTAAGACATCAGTACAGTACCCTCACTGGAAGGAGACAGGCTTGTCACTGGAGCGTCTCTCACTCTTGTCGTATCTAATACACTTATAAAAAAAAACTATAGTGTATCTATATTACAAACTTTTGTCTCCCCAAATAATTTCACCAGATATTGTAAGACGCGTAAATATACACTTATACACTACTGGACACCCGAGTGTTTTGTTGCCCTCAGATTCACAGTGTGTAGCATACAGCTGTTACACATAATAAATCCCCTCCAGCCCATCTTATTAAAATAGCATTTTTATATTTCATAAATTACTATTTTCAATAAAAAACCACCGGACATTAAGAAACAATATCTTAATTAGATTTATGGACTATTCAGCCAGGTTACTGCCCTATGGGAGGGGGGGGCTGGACTTGTTGGTGGCAAGCTGTGAGAGGTTTGGTGTGCACCAAACTGAAAACAGCAGCCACATGGCACCTCATGTAGGGTGGCTTACCATCAGGATGGGAAGACTAGTGCCACAGATACTATAATTCTGTATTGAGAAAACTTACATTTGGCAAGGAACAGTGTACCGAGATGCAAGCAGTAGTACAGAACATGATTTTGAATATTCAACTAGTACATAACTTACTTTAATTTGCATCTTGTAAATTTCTAGTCAGCAAAGGGTACAGTACTTGCACACACAATAACCAAATTGACAGATACTGAACTCTTAAGAGCCTCTATTATCATATCTCATGGAGGTTTTACTGTACAGAATCTCCAAATTCTGATGAATTAAGATTTCTGTCATCAATACCAACCCTTCCTTACCCAACCAATGTGACAAATACTGTACAGCAAACATCAAGGTTCTCTTTTCAGCAGGGAGTATTGGGAGGTGTAGTTATATTTTGTCAAGTAATTCTCATTTCACAATTATTATTCTGATCAGATGGTGACTCTGAGATCTCTTCACAAGACATTTAATCCCAGAAAAAATAAATCAAAGAAGCATGCAACTGGAGAAGAGGGTAAGGGAATGGCGCCACATATCATGACTCGACTCTACATATTCTAAAGTTCAAAATGGCAAAAACTCTTTCACTTAGAAATGAACACCCCTTAAAACTAAATACTAAAGCACATATTAACAATAATAATAATGATAAAAAAGCATGAGAATTATACCAAGCAGCGGAAAGGAAGGTGCATTAGCCATCATGTTCAGGGCTTTTGCTTACCTCTGTCCCTGTCATAGCCTCTGTCTCTGTCATATCCACCTCTGTCTCCATACCTGTCCCTGAACCCTGCACCAGCAAATTTATAAAAAAAAAGAAAAAAAAAAAAGAAGGGAAAATCAACATTGCATTCACACACCAAAAAATCGATTATTTGTGTTGAAACAATGTACGAGAGATCATACCTTGCACAGATTCACAGTTCAAGTCCACTATATACCGTACCTATCATGCAGAGTACAAATACATGTATACATTAGCTAACAAAAGCATTCAAAAGATCTTTCACAAAATCAACAAGAACTTTAATTTTTTTTATACATGAACCTATACAGAAGTGCAATACTGTACCATCATGTTGCTGGGTTACAAACTTCCTCAAAAAAAACTTACCGACCTTTAAGCTTTATATACAGTAATTAACTACCCATCTATTATTCTAAAGCTGATCATAAATAATTACCAAAACTTACATCTAATTCTCACAAAATTATCTCTAAATTTCTGTAAAACCTCCATCGTGCACACACCCCTTTCCACCCCACACATTTTGCCAAGATGGATCGGGGGAAAGCAATGTGTGTGATGTACTGTTCTGTTCTAATCAATTTACCTCTTTTATAATGTGTATTACCTGTACACCTGTCAACGGGTTAAGTCATGCAGGCGATATATTCTAAAATGGATGAAAATGCTGGAGTTGGAAGAAAGGAACTGAAAATAATAATAGAAGGAAAGAGAGAGACATAACCAAGTTCTGTAGGAGCACATAAGAGAGTACATTATACTAGTGTTGTGTAGGTGATTCTGATGATGTCATAGCCAGGGCGTTTATTAAAAGATTAGGTGGATGGGCAAGAAAAGATACGATGAAAGCAGCTGGGGACTCAGGAGGCTGTGCCATATACAGTACAAGTCACCGCACAAACGAGACGAATCACTGTGGTGCCGAAGGATGGTGAACTAAGACCAGCAGGTTAAGTTATTTTATTACAACCATTGTTTCAGGAATGAACTGAATATACCAAGATGTCAGCTGAATTGATCAACTTGGCAAACGGCTGCTGCCTGAGTAAAACTCTCGAGGAACAGTATAGAAAGAGAAACGGGAGAGGGGTAGGGCTCTCGGGGGATGTTCCGAGTGATGGGTGGTTTGTGGCCTCTCTTGTTTTACCTGCAGCCATCACTATAGTCCACAGATTCTGGGAGAGTGGGAGGATCTTTAATACCAGAATTCTAGCATCACAAACACACGTGGTCAATATAAGCTAGAAACTGGCGAAGCTTTTCGGGAAATATAAATTTTGTGTGCCAGTTTTTCCATTTTTAACCAGGGTATAAAGTTATCCTTTGATGCTACAGTAATGCTGTATCTCCATTCTCTGAATCCCTCTTAGCCAGAACTCTCCAATAGCTGGAAATTAAATTTGCTCGGAATTTTTTCAGAAAATTCCCCTCAATTCTGGGTTGAGAACGATTTTACGGGATTGAAAATCAGGTGCATTTTCTGAGGTTGAAATACCATAATGCACAATACAGTATCCGGAAAATTATGAGAAACTTTTCCCGGTACCCGGAAAAATTCCCGGGATGAGGGATTTTTTTCCGGGTTTGAGAGTCTTCTCGTCACCTGGAAATCTCTCATTCCTGGAAGTGCTCTGCACCAATTGTTCCGGCTAATGGAGAGATCACTTTTACATTTACTTCCAGAAGGCTTTTGTGATCAGACACAAGTGTCTATTTTTTTAAAGATGACCACAAGTTTATCCAATAACTGATCCCCAGATACATTAATGCCTTCTCATTAAGGTATTTGACCAAGGTTAGCTGACAAAGCCACGGGATATTTATTTTCAGTAGCGTCCTTAGGCCAACAGCATCTGGTGTTCTCATGTGGTCACCCAACCAAGTACTGTATTAACCAGACCCAACATTGCTCTCAGATACACTGTCCTCACCTTCTCTTAGACCACAACACATGTTCCCTCAGCTCTACATAGCTCCTATATAGTTACGTGTAGTTTGCCAACGTTTATTAAGGTGGAAGCACCAATAGTTCAATACTGGTAAACATATTTTTTCACTGCTACAATAAACAAGTACAGTACAGTTATATAACATTCTTATCAACATCACTGTAGACAAGAAATTTGGACTAAAGTGGTATGCTCAAGTTACCTATCTCAAAAGTTTGAAACTTTTTGTCTTTGAGAAGAAAATAAATAAATAAAGCATAAATATTCCTTTATCCAAACACATACCCATATTTGACAAGCAAAGGAACTACAGTGATCCCTCGGTTAACGAACGCCTCGGTTAACGAATTACCTTCCATAAGATTCTTCACTTCGGTTAACGAATTCCATAAATAATTTTTCCCAACATGTTTTCGCCTGCTTTCGCCTGCTCACCAGCTGTAGTATTGGTCCGCCAATACAGTAATAGGTTTTAGGGCTTAAATTCGTTACCATTTGAGTAAATATCAAGAAGGTTGTACTATTCAATAATTTTCCAAGTCTTATCTTAAAGTTTTTAGTCATTTTAACAATTATTTAACATAATTGAAGTACAGGAAACTAGTTTTTAGAGCGCCAAATAGCCACTTGACTCACCCAAAATGGCGTCAGTTTGTGTCCCTGCTCAGTGGAGGAAGCATCTTGCTTGAGACTCTCTTGAACATAAACTATTTTTACGTTTTTACAGTACAATTATTAGTCATTCTGAAGTTTATTTTACATATTGACAATATATAATGCAGCGCAGTGTTGATTTAAAGAAAATAATCATGAATTACACCTAGTGAACTAAAATTTTATGGGTGAAATGGCGGCATGGGGTGACTTCGATTCCACCCCAATGCCTTCTCTTGTCCCTTCTCCTCCACCCCCACCTCTAATTCCCATCATCATCATCAACCAGGAGCCTTCTACATGCATACCTCAAAGTAAGTATACTTTACTGCATTTATTTTTAGTTTGTATGTAATTTTCGGTGACCTGGAACCAATTACCCAAAATCCCATTGAAACAATGGTTTCGGTTAACGAACGACCTTCTGGAACAAATTGTGTTCATTAACCGAGGGACCACTGTATAGTAAAAAAAATAAATAAAAAATAAAAAATCTGATTAATACTGTAGCTGCAAAATGAAATCGGATATCAATCAAAATCAGTTTTTTAATTGAAAGTCCTCACCCACGAGAGGACGGGGTGGCTGCAACAAGACTTAAAAATAAAATGACTAAACATTAAAATAAATTAAAAGCTAGAGCATGTTGAAGCAGGCATACCATCATCAGCTTGAACACCTAAAAGGAAAGTGATGCCAGCAAAATAAAGTATTTCCATATTGATAAAAAACATTACACATATAGAACATAATCTAAATATGACACCCACCTGGGAAGGGCAAGATGGAAACAAAAGAGAAAAAGTCTGAAGTCTTGCAAATTGTTTGTTTTCAACCATTAAGAGAGAGTGGTGGTGGGGGGAGGGGGGGGAGCACTGAACCTCATGTCCAATAGAACTGGGTCCCAATCCTATTGCTGTACAGTATTTAGGTTAAGTTGGAACCCAATTGGGGTCTACTAGCTAAGTCAACCAGAAATTTTTATTGGCTTACCGTATATACTCGTGTATAGTTAGAGTTTTTAAGACCAAATTTTTAGGCAAAAATTTGGGGGTCGTCCTATACATGCGTAATAGTTTTGTTAGGTTGAACCCGTGCATGATGGGAAGGGCGAGGAGCAACTTTTAGCTTCAGACATGAAAAATATTTACCATTTACTGCCAGTAAACAATGGAAACGTAAAATATGTACCAATTAGTAATGAAAAGTTGTGCAGTTCCTTCAGCAAATGAAGCTCACCAACTTACAATAGGCTAAATTACCTTACAATGTGCTTTCAGTAGTCTATGTTGAAGTTCTTAGCATAGGCTAACTTATTATATCATATACGGTATCACAGTTCTCATTGATCTACAAAAAATACCGGTAATAAAAACCTTTTCGATATTTCACACTTAATATAATACCCGGTAATCTACTTCAACCTCCAATTGTTTACAACGACGCATGACGCATCACGCACCACCAATTGTATCAGCTACACGGTACAAGTGTTTTTCGAATCGTTTTCAGTTAAAAAACTGTTACATCACATGTATATTTTACCTTAACTGTGCCTGAATGAATATATTCTCAGAATTAAATAGTAGTTTTGCTGAAACGTGATATATTTTAATGTAAAATAGGATAAAATACATGACGAAAACAAAAGATTTTACCTAACCTTCCGATGTTCAAGAGAAGTTACTCGTTTTTTTAATAGTTTTTGGTTAAAATATTGTTATATTACAATGGTATTCTATTCATACTGTGCTTGATATAACGCATTCACGGAAATGTAATATTTTTGCTGAAATGACGTACGTATTACAGTGGAAAGTGGGATAAAATCGTGAAGAAAACAATGACTTTCGCTTTCTTTCGTTCAAAAGATGTTACTGTAATTGCTTTTCGAATGGTTTAGTGAAATAAATACTTGAATGGAAATACCCGTATACAATATTTTTGTTGAAACTACCCGCGTTTCAGTGTAAAGTGTCGTAATAATAAATGGTAAACAATTTGCCTTCGGCACTCGTGTTTCAGGCACGGTGAGCCTCAGTTTATAGGACGTAGAGCGTTTTTAGTGAAGGTTTTGTTGTTCCATTACCCTAAAAAACGTGGGTCGAACTATAAACGAGGAATATCATAAATTAACTATTTCTTGGTCAAAAAATCAGGGTCGGCCTATAAACGAGTATATACGGTATTTAATATTTTCTGGTTTAATATTCAAACAACTATCACTCGTTTTATAGTTAAGTTATTATTTATGAATATTTACTCTTTAGAAACAAACAGGGGGATTTAATGTTCACATTCTGGGGCAAAGAACTGGTCTGGGTAGGTAACTTAAATGTTCTTCCAATTTACTGTGTGTGTCTGTTGTAGTCAGTATACAGACAACCTCTCAGTGAGTGTACAGTATATAAAAACTACTAAGGTACTGGTGAATAACGCACGCACACACACACACACACAGAGAGAGAGAGAGAGAGCATTTCTTACCAAGACTCCCTACAGTACTTTGATAAGTTTTGTACAATGAATGCGTGGAAATCTTGCACCATCTTTGATCTCTTTAATTGATCGTTACCACGTGGGTCAGGCAAACACAAGGTAAAGACATGAGAAATGAACTTAATCCAAGCAAGAGGGCCAGGCAAAGCAGCTAGTGGAATGAAAGGTGGATGCATTTGGCTGCCATGTTCAGGGCTTTTGCTTACCTCTCTCCCTGTCATAGCCACCTCTGTCCCTGTCATAGCCTCCTCTGTCCCTGTCATAGCCTCCTCTGACTCCATTCCTGTCCCTGAACCCTGCACCAGTATTAAAAAAAAAAAAAAAAAAAAATTGAATGTATATGTATCTTAAGTACATCATAAGGCCACTGAGTATTGGAAAAAAAACCCACTACATGAGATAAGCTCAATAATGTGAAGCAATCTGAGTTTCATGTTTCAGCTCCCCGCAATCACCTATTTCAGTATCTCAACACGTTGGTCAAATTATCACAGCCTTGTGGGTCCATTTGTACACACACAGCATCACTTTGTGCCCGGAGAAGCAGGCAGGCAGGCAGGCAGGCATGAGATAAGTAACCTTAGCAAGAATGATGACAAAATAAATAATAATAATAGTAAATAAATCAATAATTAAATAAATAAAACAATAAAACCTATCATTAAAATACTCCATTCATTACAGTGAGGTAGAATATCAGACCTTTTAATGATACCTAAACAAATGGGGTTGAATAATTGAAAGCCAGATATTTAAGGTAATAACGGCCTGCGGGGTCTTGGACGGAGCACAGTAAGGTATGGTACTATGATTTATAAAGGGAACCACAGTATACCATAAACATTATTAGAGAGGCAATAGTGATATCTCCGGTAGCTAAAGTTTACTCTTAAATATGACCACAAGCAGCTTAAACCTCTTGAGCACGCAATATGTCTTTATGTTTCCGTGACCTCGACAAAGGGCACATGGGATCACTCACGTGAGGTTTTAATCATCTTTGCTCTGTGACCAATTTATCCCACAATTTTTCTTTTTATTTTGCATGATTTAAAGAACACTGGCTTCGTTATTGTCTTGGCTTTAACACAGCAGAAAAAATAAATAAGACTATTTTTTCACTCCAAATAGAAAAATTAAATAAAAATTATTTGTGTTTGCAGCATCATATCTTAAGTATTTTCTCAAAAAACCTTCAAGGTATTACTGTATATACTAATTATAGAAGGAGAAATTTATGAACCTTCTAACGATGGCTTTGAAATTTTGATATGACTAACTGTGGGTAAGGTGAGAGAAAATAAAAACAAATGCAACCTACCAGTGGAACCCAACCCAAACTTTGGTACTTTCTGGACGTTTCCCTTGCAAGACCGTGTGTTCATCTATGTTGAATGAAACGACGCCCCAAAACTCCATTTTGGGCTAATTTTTTCAAGTTTAATGATGCAATTCTTGTCACCGTTGCAAATAGTGTTCCCAATGATTTGATGCAACTTGTGGTACAATGCACAAGAGGGTTTAGGTACTAGAGACATCAACAGAGTGTTTTGAACAATGAGCGTTATATTTCTTACCTAAATAAGATTACAAGCAAGGTGCCCAGAGAGATGTCAGTGAGTGGAACAATAGGTGACAAACTGAATTATGAAGTAGTAAAAGAAAGAATTGTAATAAGTACATTAACCCCTTGACTATGATGAATTAACCCCTTGAGTACCATGCCTTAATCCTTTAACTATAGTATAATGACTTGTGCCCCTTAATACAATGTGTCATCATACTCAAGGGGTTATGAAAGATATGGAAAAGGAGAACTGTTTGGGGTGAAGAACAAGGAGTCCAGATGAAAGAGGAAGAAGCAAATTTGAAGTGACAAAGATGACAACATACTTGAGAGAGAGAGAGAGAGCAGGAAAATATAAAAATAAATAAATAATCCCTTTGCATGATAACGAAGATGATGATGATGATGAGGAAGACAATGATGATGATGACCTAGAGATGAAGAATGTTGTTTACAGGATGAACTTTTCTATGAACCATCCAAGAAATAAAAATCATTATCGTACATCTCCGACAATCCTCTTACGCACGACCATTTTCCTCATTTCCTACAAGCCACACCAAACACGACCAAGCAGTGATTTCCTCCAACGTTTAGTAATTTTTGGGAGTTAAAAAGAACGTATCACTTACGGCTGAATAATGTGAGTGAATCTTTATTAGGGGAGAAAAACAAAACAACAACTTTACCCTGAATGATAGAGTCTGGTCGTGGCTACGCATCAACAAGCAGGAGAGAGTTGTCGAGGGTAATGGTATAGAGGAAAATGGCAAACAGGGTCCATCGCCATTTTCCAAGTTTGTGTGGGTTAGCCTGATGACTCAACCAAGGAGCCCTCTCCGTGTCTGAGGGTTGGCAACCATGACCCTCTACCATTAATGTTTTCTGGGGTGTCACTAACAATCCTCCCAGATATTACAGCTCTTCAGGGGCCCCAGGGATTACTTTCATTCATCCTTGCCCGTCTCTATCTTCCCCTGACCCTCCCATACCTCTAAATTTATCCTTTAATATTTCTACCATTATCACCTCACCCCAAGTATTAGGATCGAATTAGCTCGCTTTTCTCATTGTCACTGCTCTAATCAATAACATACTCCTGAATCACGGGTCATAATTTGGGTTAATGATGCAGGAATGCAAAATGCAGTTTACTGAATTAAATCAATTTGCTCATAGTGTGAAGGTGCATGCAAAATTTGTTTCATCCAAGAAGCTTTTCTCAAATTAACGAGAAAAAAAATACAATATGACAAAATTTTATGGAGGGGCAATAAAATATACTATACAGTACTGTATACTGTATAGCTACTGAGGATATACACTGTGTTGAGAGCTGCCCTGAAGAATGGTTCATAAAATTTTGAGTTATTGTATTTTAAAACCTTTAAAATAGAAAGAGCACGCAAATGGTTTATATCCATGGTGACAAAAACGTCTAAGAACAAGAATTTTAACAATAATTGCTGTGTTCTTGGACATTTAACCAGTCAAAAAAAGAGGAAGATTAGTTTGTGGCCCAGAACAGAATGGTTAGCTATGGCAAGAATACTGGCATGGCTGGAGGCCAGCTCAGGCACACTAAATGACCAACCAAACCTGCCTGGCTTGTCTCAAGACACCTGAGGCCAGAGTTACTACCATACAAGTTCTTCCAGCTACCATACCTGATTTTTAATTCATTATTGAATATATAAATTATCACTTTTTTTTTTTAAACTTCCCACTGTACTAATGTTCTGAATGTCATTTAGTAATGGATTCCAGTTTTGGTAAATAAGTGGGAAACACCGAAGCTCCATATACCTTTTCCAGTGTTGGTTTGCCAATTATAAGAATAAACACAACAATGTTTGGTGTCTCACAAGGCTGCAACTTTTATATTTCTAGGAGCTTGGTGGTTACTAACATAGCAGCTAGAGGCTCAAGGACTTTGTCTATTACACAACAACTGTCTTCCTGCAGGACTCTGGTCATTTATGAGTCACACCACTTTAGCCTTGAATCATGTATATCAAAATCATGTGAAAAACAAGCAACAGTTCTAGGTAATGCTGGTGGACAACAGATAGGCATACATTAAATAAACCTGCCTTATACCCTATAAGAATACTTATTACAGGGGTGGATCCAAGAAGTTTGGGTATGGGAACGTGGTGAGCAAGCGAGCCCACCCAGCCGGAGGGTTGTAAGCCCCTCCCCCGTTTTTTTTAAATCTGACCAATATTATGGTCATTTTGATGCCGTTTTGAAACCACATGCACTCGATATTAGGAGATATTCTAAAGTAAATACAGTAAATACTTCTTACTTTAAAAAAAAAAAGGCCTGAGCACAATACTGCAATAAAGGAAAGTATGGAGAGTTCTGATGAAAAAGGGCGGGTCCAGCCCCCGTGGACCCCTCTGGATCCAACCCTGTATTAGGCTCACGGCAATCATGACCCTTTGATTCCAAAATGAACAGTAACTGCCTACCTAGAGTATAAATTACTTGAGAAAAAGTTTGAAGATATATGTAGCAGAATCTGTATTATTATATAGCTACCTGTGAGAACAAAGGGAAAAAGATAAGGAAAATTCAGTAGCCCTCGACTCACCTCAGCAGGGCACAAGAGAATGTGTGAATGAGAAAGGCTTAAGTTGTACTGATTCATGGGAGGTGGAAGGCAGATCTGTGTTGTCACCATCCATTTCAATACAACACTGATATTTGTCTTCTTTATACTACTATCAATATGTTCTTAGTCTGTATTACAAACTATATCATGTGAACCAAAAATCAATGCAAATACTATGTTAATATTCAAGGCATATTTCCACTTCACAGTTTCAGTCAAGTGGTTCAAAAATTAGTAGGCTGTGTCCAACATCTCAACAAGGGTATAGTAGTAACAGGGGCTTTTGTTTTGTTTGTAAGCCTCGTTAACAGCATTTTACATTTCTAATTATAAGGTCATCTGAAGATTCCCCCCCCCCCAGATTACCTGAGGGGGGGGGGGATGAGGTTAGATTAGCATTAGGTTGGTTATTAAGGTAAAATACACTGGGGGACAAATCTTCCGGTGATACTAAATGTTCTAATCAACTAACATACAGTACACTCTTCATGTGCCCTCAGCAATAAGGAATTTATGTAAGAAGTTTAAGAGAATAAAGTTTACAGCTGCCATCTCATGTATAACGAGTCAAGTTTCCTTCCCAGCTCCAAGCACGGTGACAAAGATTATAACTGCTGGGACATTATATGGTTTAAACTGTTCACTCTCTCAGCTGAGGGTGAGCGAGGTAACAAGACAACATAAAGAGAGGAGCTGTTTAAGAGAAAAGTTTTACAACCATTTCATACCAATAATCAACAAGAGCTGACCTAACATGTGCCACAACGATAGTGGTCATCTTGGGAGGAGAGGAAGGTCAGGCGGGGAATGGAAGGCTGGAGTGAAGGATGCTCTACAACTGAGGGAAGGATGCTCTACAACTGAGGGAAGGATGCTCTACAACTGAGGGAATGATGCTCTACAACTGAGGGAAGGATGCTCTACAACTGAGTGAAGGATGTTCTACAACTGAGGGAAGGATGCTCTACAACTGAGGGAAGGATGCTCTACAACTGAGGGAAGGATGCTCTACAACTGAGGGAAGGATGCTCTACAACTGAGTGAAGGATGCTCTACAACTGAGGGAAGGATGCTCTACAACTGAGGGAAGGATGCTCTACAACTGAGGGAAGGATGCTCTACAACTGAGTGAAGAACACCCAAGAAGCAACATTCTGGAGACCACATCATTGTTACTTCTGGGGTTGGTTTCAGCATTTCTACAATACCTATACTACAGCAGGAATTCAAATTTTTGCATTATTTTACTCTGATGTTTTCATGAATACTTGTGGCACATGTTACAAGTTTGGGTTAAGGCAATACCTGGAGTAGTGAGGGCCAGGCCAGAGTGTACTATATCAACATACAGTACTACAGTATCTTTTGATCAATGACTGCAAATAAACCAACAGTGCAATTAATTCAATATTTACAGTAAAAAATGACAGCCTGACCAAAATCCACAAGGCAAAGCTTATTACTGACACGCTGCACCAAGAATAATGTTATTTAAAGACAGGATTATCAAATACCAATAAAATCTAGACACTAGTAATGCTTACCCCTGTCCCGATCGCCAAAGCCTCCTCGGTCTCGATCACGATCACCGAAGCCGCCGCCTCGGTCTCGATCGCGATCACCGAAGCCGCCTCCGCGGTCTCGATCGCGATCACCAAAGCCGCCTCCGCGGTCTCGATCGCGATCACCAAAGCCGCCACCTCGATCACGATCACCAAAGCCGCCACCTCGGTCGCGGTCACCAAAGCCACCTCGATCACGATCACCAAAGCCGCCGCCCCGGTCACGGTCGCCAAAGCCTCCTCGATCACGATCTCCGAAGCCGCCTCTGTCGCGATCACCAAACCCACCACGGCTAAAAAAAAAACAAAAACAATACAACATGTAGGCACTTAAATAAGGTTTATAGCAAGACAGTGAAGGATGACAGAAGATGAAGGACTGTCTTGTGTTGGGTGGAGAGGGTGACTGAACATGACCCATCCCATTACAGAGGGTCTAGAAATTTTTACTTTATGACTTTTGTTAGCACAGAGGATATACAGTAGATAAAAGTACCCAGACATCAATATTTTTCATAAATTCTTCTCCATTTTTTTTAATAACACTAAGGCAAATACAGTTCCTTTCCATTTCTCTTCATTCTCAGTCAGTCGTTCTATATACACCTGATGCGTTCAACATGCACAGAGATGTCTGCCCGGTTTATTCTTGTCGCTTAACAAAACCAATCACCATCCACTAGCAGGACACTCAGTACCAAACACCACAATGCTCTCCACTGCTGCTTCCTTCTCCCATGCTCTTCTTCCCACCTCCAGCCCTCCCTATCACTTTTGGCTACTCCAGCAGTTGAGACGTGAGCAAAAGTTCTATGCATGGTCATATTATATAATCTTTTAGTGTCATTACTGTATTATGAACTCCAAGCAGTTTGAAAGGGTAAAATATTGTTACATGAGTCCTGTTACAGCCCATACAATGAAGAATTCAGAGAGAGAGAGAGAGAGAGAGAGAGAGAGACATACCCTTCATCACGACGTTCTCTATCAAAACCTCCTCGAGCTGGACTTCGATCATCTCTTCCTCCTGAAATTGGAAAAAATCAAGACCCTGGTTAATTTAGGACCCAGTTAAATTTACACCGTTATTTTCTTCGTATTTACGACGAAAAAAAAAACTAATAAAAAATAAATAAGATTACATGTATTAAAAACACACAAAAAAAAACAAGCCTCGTGCACAGAGGCTGCCGGGCTTGTGAGTGGTGACGCCAGCATCACTAGTATAAACAGTTGCAGCTTGGTGGGCCTTTTGCTTTCACGCATCTGAACAGGAAAAAAAAAGAAAAACTTTCTCATGTTTCTAATGGCATTTTTGTGCCCATATTCAACATAGCAAGTGATGGTAATGCTGGTTCAAAAGCTAAAAGAAAGTGTATAAGCTTAGCCGAGAAACTAGATGTGTTAAAACGATATGAAAAAGGTGAGAGGTCTGTGGATATTTTATAGAGCAAGCAATGAACATACTGTATTTTCTAAAGTGAATCCATTAACAGAACGAAGCATTAAAATTAACAGGGATAAAAAATGCATATGACCTCCACATAAACATGTATACAGTAATGAGAAAAGAAAGCAGCTGTGCAAGGTTCTTTTGACAGCTTTATTATTCGAAAACCTAAACCAACAACTTCAGCTACACCATCAAATTCAGAATCAGCAGCAGCAACAACTACAGGTTCAGTAACAGTTTCAGCAACAGCTATGACATCTTTAGGGAAAGCTACAGCTTCAGGCAGAGTTGAACCTGATGACTTCGTCATCTGAGTAAAAACTCACAACATTCATTGGCTGTCCTTATGCTTTAGACTTTACCTCCATTGGTGAGTAGAAATTTTGTTTTACATTAATAAGTATTATTTAAAACATATATGAACAGTAATAAGTGTTGCATTCATATTCTTAAGTAGAGAAATGACGATATGTTTTCACGTGTACACACTTACAAACGTTGGCATTGCACAATCCGTCTCGCTTTCTTCTATATCATTAGTTGTTAGCTACTTCTATTGCTCCATTTATTATTAAATAACATTACTTAAAATATGCATATCCATTTTTCTTACATTAATTTTACTACAGCTACAACCAGTCTTATTTTCTTCAGTTTCATATGTAGAACCATCGTCACTGGTGTAAACACTAATGAAAACAATGCCATCTTGTCTCTTGTGATTTAATGTTCTACATATTATTAATGAATTGTATTGTTCATTTCGCATATATAAACATTAATTCAATCAAATACATATTCAGTAACAAACAATAATGAATCTTTAGTACATATTCTTAATAAGATAAATGACGCTGTTACCTTGGGCGCGCCCGTATTCGTTGGCGTTCCACTATCAGTCTCTTATTTTTTTTCTTTACCATCAGTGGTTACCTCTACTGTACATTAAATAACATTAATTAAAACATACATATTTTTGTACATTAAGTTTACTACAGCAACAACCAGGGTCTTATTTTCTTCAGTTTCAGATGAATAACTGACATTATGGGTGTAAACACTGACAACAACAATGGCATCCCACCTCCTCTTGCGTGACCATATTATTATTGATTTATATTGTATAAGGTGCATCCATAAACATTATTTAAAGACTTTAGTTTGCATATTTTATTGTTTGGTGGGAAGAGGGTAAAAAGCCACACAAAAGACATGAAATGGTCACACTTTGGAATGCATCTCATTATTATTGCTTTATTTTAATGGTAATTAATGATTCACCTTACACTGCAATACTGGAGGACACATTATCATCATTATTCGAGGCTTTACTGTAGTATACCTGTATACTGCATATATACTCTATGCTATGAAGTACAGCAATTTAACGAAACAAAAGTGTGTCCAGATACAGGTGTAGAGCAAAAACAATTTGTTAAATACATACTGATATACATCTGTTTCTCTTAACTTCTTTATGTTAACTGTAAATATCTCCCCACTCCTACTAAAATGATATGAAACCCAGGAATGGATAAGGTTCTATTGTACTTGGCTTTGGGCCACTCAAAAGTATGCCTGCCCTGTACCACAACAACGATGGCATTTGTTGAAAACAAGTTAAGTGTAATGCTACCCAAATCAAAGGTCCTGTTGAAAAGAAGATGAACCATATGCAAAAGATATATAACTTTTATGAGGGGGAAACGCTACAAAAATACTGAGAGAAAAAGAAAACTCATCGTCTTAAATCCTTCTCCACTCTCAACTTCCAAATGACAGTAGACTGTATACAAACAATCTAACACAGGGGTTCTCAACCAGGGGGGAATTTCCCCCCTCAGGTTTTCAGGGGGGGGGAGGAAAACTGATACTAATATGGAAAAAATAAAGGATTTTCAGTATTATATGCATATTATTTGGAATGCACTTTTTGAGGCAGACAATCTTGGAAAGGAGGGGGGAATGACATTCTGACATATGGTGAAAGAGGTGCATGGGGCAAACAAGGTTGAGAACCACTGATCTAACAGGTGTTGTAAATACAAAGTTCAGTGATGTGTTCTTGACAGTGGTGGGCATGGTTCCGCTAATTAGCGAAGCTAACTTTCTCGTTAGCGGATTAGCGTTTTCGCTAACTTTGGAAACCATTAGCGGACCAATTAGCTTCCGCTAAATTTAGTTCCGCGAACTTTAAGTCCGCTTACAAAATTTATACGTTTGTTCCTGTCTGTTGTAAGCGTGTGACGCCGCGACGCGTGTCTCCAACAGCCAGTCAGGCACGCTTGGCTGACTGAGTGTTAGTACTTGTAGACGTTTAATTTCATTTGTTCATTTAATTATTTGTGTACACCTTGATCATCATCTGATCTTGGCATGCTATACCTTTTTGGAAGGCTGTATGTCTAAGCTACAAGACAACATATGAAAATTTCAGCTCTCTAGGTCTGTTTTTAAGAGTTTAGAGCCCCCACCCCACAAAAAACGAAGCTGAATTCGTATAATAAAATTTAGCGGTTAGCGTTAGCTTCCGCTAAATTTTTTAGCTGGTTAGCGGTTTAGCGTTAGCGAAGTTAACTTTATAGTTAGCAGATTAGCGAAGCTAACTTTTCGTTTAGCTGTGCCCACCACTGGTTCTTGACAAAAACAGTGAAAACACATCCCACTTATCTTCGGTTCACTGACCATAAGAATTTTATGACATACAATAACTTTTAGTAAAACATCAAGAATTATCAGACCTGGATTTCTTATACGTACTGTAATTCCATGACTCTTAATGTGTACACTGTATATGAACCCAAGTAATACTGCTCTGCTCTTATATGGTCAAGGCAAATATCTAGTATAAACAGCTGTCAGGAATAAGGGGATCAATAAAAACAACAAATCAATAGTTCCCGATCTATAAATTGGATGAAAGTAAAAAAAAAAAAAAAAAAAAAAAAAAAAAAAAAAAAAAAAAAAAAAAAAAAATACAAATAAAATTATAATAAAAAATCACAGCCTACAATTTATAAAAAAACAGCACCCTGGTATAAATGGTGAACTTAACGTGAAGCAGAGCCAGAATGATGATCCAACTATACCAACACATACCATCTCTTGAAGGAGCGTCCCTTGGCGGAGCCCTCCAGTCAGATACTCCTTCGCTACGGTCCAGGCGGTCCTCATCCCTGCCTCCTCGGTCAGAGAACCCTCGTCTCTGGTTGCCTCCTTCTCCCTCTGCTATATCTACCCGAATCTTCCGGTTATTCATCACCTAGTACAACCAAGGCTTTTATTATTAACAATGGTACTTATTAGTTCTCATTCCACATATAAACTCTCCCCTCACTACAAGAGACACAAAACTCCCCGATCATTACTTACATCATCGTTTTTAGCGAGGGCTTCAATAAGTTCATTTCGAGTTTCAAATTCGACATATCCAAAACCTTTGAAGCGGCCTCCTTCACCGCCCTCTCGCGGAAGACGGATGGATTTAACCTGCAGACGACAAAAGATTCAGTATATAATGTACAAGTGGTCCGGGTGTAAATTTCTGCCGCAAGAACAGTCAAGAATCACTATTAAATAAATCAGAAAGGAAAGTTTTCATCACAGCACAAATCTACACAAAACTTGATCAAGATCCTACTACCTACTTTTACCCAATCCAGCCTCCTATCCACCAGTATAGTCTAAAAAAACCTCCTGTCTTCTCCAATGTCATACCTCCAAGTTTATTGACAAATCTCCTTCTTTCTACACCAAGTTTGCCCTCATGCCAAAGTTCTATCAAACCACATTACTGTCAGTCTGTCTCTATTTCCACACACCCTCACATCTTTATCTCTTATCACTCATATACAGCACATACCATAGTACAGTAGAATCCCAGCTATCCGGCACCTATGGGGATTGAGAGGTGCCGGATAAAGAGATTTTCCTGTTAGCTGAGCCTCACTCTTAGGATTCCTCTATAAATCCTAGTGCAACAGGCTGTCCTTGGAAATTCGTGTCTCAGAAGTTAAATTTTTTTCTTCAAATCCGTGGATTTTCAAGTGTTCAACAATTACTGTGTTTTTTGTTTGTCTGTGCTTGTTTGAGAAAAATAAAATTGTATGGATATTTAAACACTCACGAAACTGCACGGATTTGTGGAAAATCGGACTTCTTTAACACTTATTCCACTCTATATAAACGATGTGGCTTAGAAATAAAAAATAATATAAAACAACTGTACAAAATAAAGAGCATTGTGTGGGAACTGTATGTGTGTGTGGAGACTGCGGACTATAACTGTGTGGCGGACTCACCTTCATCCAATATTGTTACTTGTATGTAATGAAACCATAAAAGTTGAGGAAAATCATAACAATACTCCAATGTGTGTGGAGAAATAAAGAAAATAGAATATAAAATTATAAAATAAGAAAAATGAAGAGTAAGGGTGTGGCGGCACTGAGCTGTAACTGCCTGGCCACAGTTCCTCCCGATGTGACATAATGGCATACCGGTACACACAGCCACACACCTGTTAGTCAACTGGGTGATTGCCTGGCTGAAGTGGGTCGTGTAGCCCAGATGATGGTTTAAGTGTGGAAGGAGCTATTTTTTGTATCAATTTTATCGTTTATCACAGCAATAATTATAGCAGCTCATCCCCACGGAGTGCAGTACTGACACTTAGAATTCTGGCTGATTTTGGAGGAATTTTTATAATACAGTGCAAGCTCAAAAATTTGAATTGCATGGGCCCATGAAGTATACGAATTTTAGATGCATGGAAGCGTCAGAGCAAAGTGTTGTACAAAACATGCTACAAACATTATTTACATATCTAAAAACTGTCAATAAGCAATAGGTATAATAAATTAAAAGTATTACTGTATTTAGATTCAACAACATTTATTCTAATATGAAACTTTAAATACGTGACTTCAAGTCTTAGGCGAATATTACGTAAATAGTTTCTATACAAAATATTGTACTGTACATTTCTTTTAAATTATAATTGCTATCATATACGTGTGTAAAAAAATAAGTCGGTTAAATATAAGAGACGTCAAAAATCAAAGAATTATTAATGGAATAAACATCGGTAGGCTGGCATCTGTCGCGCCACTACTCTCCTCCCCTCCTCTTTATCCCGCTCTTTACCACACTGCCTGCAGTGATAAAAGTATTTTGTTTTACTACTTTACAATATTGCTTAATACACATCTTCAATAATACTTCCAAATATTGACCTGGTTGTAAATAATTACCATTCAGTATAATCATTGTCTCTATGTATACTGTAGTGGGGTTGGTCTGACGAGTAGGATACCTACCCTCTGCTACGTACGCAACTCTAAAGACAAAGTCGAGTTGCCATGTATGTGAAAACTTTTAGAACATGTTTTAGAAACTATAAAGTTAAGATAAAATAAAGTATAAATCAAATTATAATTTGACAAAGGGAAAACATGAATGTAAAAAAATACTGTAAGGATTGCATATTTACCTTAAATTTATGAGCTTGATCTGTTTATTGGTCCCGTGAAACATACTTTTTCTTCTTTTCTACACTGCATGCTAAACTATCAAGTGAACGCTTATTTGATGCCATTATAAGAGTGAAAGTTGAATGTTAATAAAGTTAACCACGGAGCACTTGTGAGACGACCACCACGAGACACTGAAGGGTAAACAATGCGTGACCTACCGTGTCTTGGAACCCGGATGTGCTTGTTGTGCTCAGCATTATGATCGCATTTGAAAGCTTGAATTATTATGGTGATATTTTCAAATTCAAAACTTAAAATTTTGGCACTTATTTTTAATCAGATTCTATTCGAATTTTAGATGTATCTCAATTTTAGAGGTTTGAATTTTAGAGGTTTCACTGTATAATCTAATTTTGATGCCGGTTGGTCGGGCTGTGGATAACCGGGATTATACCGGGGCGTACAATATAATACTGTGTAATAATTCTTCTAACTAACCTTCAGATCTTGGAAAAACCTAATAATATCTTCATCATCAACCTCGAAAGGGAGGTTGGCAATGTATGCTGTATAAGGGGGGTCCCTTGGGATACGCTCCGGGTCCACATCTGATTCCCGGGCGTTACGTGGAGCGGTTGGCAGTACCAGCCGCTCTGGTTGAGCATAACGATCCTCTGAAAAATGAAGAATCGGCTTGAATAATAAACTACAGTATTTGAGAATCACTTTTTGAAAAATCTCTTAATAACAAATAATTTTTTTGTAATAGTTATACAGGGAGTACAATTAGAGACAGCATACAACGAATATTTTGTCATCAACACATTTCGATAGGTCAAATAAAATGTAAATACCTCTTCCATTTATCCACAATACCACTAAGTATGTTAAGATTTATTCACCACTTTCATAAGTATTTCTATATTGGCAGTGATCACAAGATTCGAGTTTTCAAATAAATATTTCAACCTCCGAGAACAGTTAAATATAATGGAAGAGCAAAGACCTAAAGTTTACACCCAGTTGTTCATCCAGCTGGGGGAGCAGACTGAAGGGAATACAGATGGGATAAACAAGGAACACTACCATCAATCAAATTACTTTAAACTGTCTTCTACTGCATTTCACTCTTGGCTAAATCAATTTGTAAAACATGGCAGAAAACTGGGACTGAAGATCAACATACTGTACTGCACATGTTCCTCTCTTGATATTGAAGCTGCATTCTTGTATAAAGTACTGTATCTAGGTACTGAACTTACTGATAAAACGGACATTGAAGTAAGAATTGACTACCTTAAAAGATCACTTGTAGATAACTTATGTGGCTACAGTACTGAAATGCTTTACAATGTACTCTCAAACCACCCACCCATTCACAAATGCCAAAATATAAATTAATAATAAGATATGTATAGAATATGAATGCAATAAACAAGGCAAGAGTCGGTTTATATATTAACTTACCTTCATAGTCTTCACTCTCCTCAGCCCAGCTACTTTTATTAAGCACTACGGCAGAGCCACAAGGAGACGCTGATGCCCCTAGAAATTCTCCGAGGGGAACGGGTTTCCCCTTGGTTTTTTTGTTTTTCTTACCTGAAAATATAGTTCTTAGATAGAGGAACTCGAACAGTTACAATCAAGAGTTAAATTTTGAATACTATAAGAAAGGTCAGACTTGTTTCAGTAGTTACATCTTAATTCACCAAGAAGAAAATTAAAAGGAAAAAAATCTGGAATAGCATGGCCCATGGTGAGCGGAGAAATAGAAAATCACCACTACATAATTCTTTACACTTCAGTTGAAATATTTTTTTATTTTCAAATTTCCTATGTTCAGTACAGTAATAACATATAGAACAAAATACAGTACAGTATTCATAAAATATTGAGGTATTATCCTCAATGGAAATACAGCAGCTACTGTATGCTAACGAACAAAGGTCAAGATCCTTGTTGGCTAGCAGTATGCAAGATTACACAACTATATTTCCATAGTTCTCACTACAACCATCGGTCTAAAACCCCAATTAATACAGTCAAACAATCTACAAGACTTCCCAAACAATATGAGAGGCCTCCCCAAGGTAAGTACAGTACAGCTCCTCCCCGACTTATGACCTACTAGACTTACGACCTGCCTCAGTTGTACCAAAATTTTGTCAAATTACGTATTTTTGAGTCCCAACGTCAGTACACAGAGAAAATTTTCATTCGTAATTCACTTTAATATGACTGGCAAGCTTAAAAGTGAGAGTTTAGTGGTGCTGAGAAGAAAAAGAGACACCCATTTTAGATTTTCTATGTATTATTCAAGCATTTTCGACTTACGACCTGGATTTGGGTCCCTAACTCCGTCGTAAGTCGGGGAGGAGCTGTATATGTGGGTCCCACAGACCTAACTACCCTTTCGGGATACATTGTAGTGTGGATAGAACACACTCAACACTAAGCCTTTGGTAAACAATGAGACAATGTGGCCGGCACTGCACACAACCGCTTTCCACTTCCCCAACTGTAAAGTCGAGTACCCATTCTGCAGCTGGGTTGACTGTGGTATCCCACTCAGTTGCCGGACGCAGGGCTCGAACCAGCGAATGTCGGATCAGGAGATGAGTGCTATATCCACTTGGCCACCACGCCCTATCCAAACAAAGTAACCCAGGTTAATTATGGCTTGTTTGGTCAAGGCATTATCATGCCTCATCTAACTCGGTGGTTAAGTCACAGTTCGAAGGAGTTAAGTCAGTAAAGTTGTAATCAAACTAAACTTATGCATTTAACTACACTACACTGTACAGTATTGTAATTCTAAAATCTGTCATTTCTTTTCACTTTCTCCTCCCCTTTTCCTCAGTAAAGTACAGTACAATAATCCTACCCATTACATGACTACAACCATTCATTTATTTTTGGTCTGTAAAGTTCATTCCTTGTGAAGGATGTGTTTCAATATTAAATAGATTTTCATGAATTCATCTTAAAGTCACAAGATATTCACCATTCACATGTTTAGTACCGGCAGCTATCTCCCCTCAAAACCCTGTGAGCACATCATCATCTTCAAGTTATATCAAACCATAAAGGACACATGTATGACCTTCACACATCCTCACCAGAGCTTAAAACACCGACAATCACCATCTTAGGATAACAACAAGAACCGCTAACAAGAATATACAAACAATGAATACACATCACAATACAGTACTGTAAACTATGCTGGCATGAACAGTACTGAACCCCATCAATATCTGCCAACACCCAAAAGATCCAAAACAAATCCCTTACAACAGGTTGCCTCTAACACACCTATACTGTACACTGAATCAAGAATTACCCCCACAGACGACCACCTTAGCTTCAGGGACACACACATCCCCCGCTCATCCTTGTTACTGGAGATCAATCTATCACAGAGATACAAAAACGACCACATTTCACAACCATCCACAAACACACAATCTCCTCCAGCCACACCTAACACTGACATGTTTCATTAGGGTGATATATCTAATTTTAGGGACACCACCTCACTTTTTTATTAGAAACATATTGTACCTGTATTTTATACTATGCAGTAACTGGAACCTTACTTGTATGTCCACTAAACCATTGCCTACAGTACTGGCCTTCAAAGGAACTATGTGATCTCAGCAGGAATGAAACACTGAGTATTATATATCACTCAGTTTCTTTTAATCCAGCAAAGATCAGACATACTGAAAGATGGTGTTTTCTTTACATCACTGAAGTACTGGAAGCATGTAGATTGTTGTGTAGGGTTAGTGTGTAAACCACAAATAAATTACACATGAGAAAAAAAAATCATAATTCTAAACCAATGATGATTGTGACATGCTGCAGGAGGACCTGAATGGGATCAGGGGTTGGACTGAGAAGTGGATGCTGAACTTTCACCCAGAAAAAAGTAAATACATGAGGATAGGAAGAACAAAAGTTGCTGACCATGGATATCATATGCACACCACGATCAAGAAGACCACTGTAGAGAAGGATATAGGGGTAGTCATCAATGATAAGCTGACGTTTTCTGACCATCTAGCTGAGAAAATCAACTTTTGTTCATCTGGATGCACCTTGAGTATGCTAATCAAATTTGGTGCCCATATCTCATTAAGGATATTGAAGCAGTAGAGAATGTACAGAGGAGGGCTACCAAATTAGTACCACAGATCAAGGATTTATCTTATGAGGAAAGACTAAGGAAATTACAGTTACCGACACTGGCGTACAGAAGATCTCGTGGGGACCAAGTGGAAACATACAAGATAGTGTGTGGCATATATGACCAGGCATGTACAGCAGGAATGTTCCAGATGAGGGAGGCTGACACTACCCGAGGGAACTCAAAGATCTACAAAACGAGAGCGAGAGTAAATCTCAGAAGACATTCGTTCACGAGTAGGGTTGTCAACAACTGGAATGGGTTACCTGAGTGGGTAGTGAATGTGGAGACGGTGGAAAAGTTTGAAGCAAAATTAGATAAATACTGGAAAAATCAACAAGTATATAATTATAGGGCACAAATATCCGCCACACGCAGCCACCGTCTGAGTAGAGAAGAGGCTATTGAGCTGGAGTCACAGGTGTGAGCCTCTTCCAGAAGATCATCTGTGAGAACAAGGCAGTGCACCTAAAATATGATACTACAACAGTTAGTTTGGTTCATTTCATCTTCTCTTTTTTAAACTGTTGATTACATGGGGATCGCACACAGCAAATTAAAACAAATTATGATAATCCTCATCTTATGGCCAATTGCTATGTTTGGACAGGTTGGCCGTGATTACCTGATGGCAAGGTGTCATCAGCTAAGAGCTATGGCCAGTTTTAGAGTGGGAACTTCCATGAGTCCTAAGAAATGTTTTAATTTTCAAACTACTGGACAGAGAAACTAATACAATATCCTACATTATATAAAGCCCCCCCCCACCCAAGGCAGCATTAGTAAAGAAACGCTTATAGAGAACACCGTTTGTAGTCAGCTTTATGATATTTCTCCACCAGCTTACAATATAACAAAGGAATCTGAGATCACAAACTAAACACATACAATTATATACTTTAATTGAACTGAACCAAACAAACCTATTTCTAATCACTAAATTTGGTGACGGTGGAGCAGACAGCCAGCACCAGAAGGGCCTTATGGAATTGTACCAAATTTTCAGATGTTGTTGTTTGGATAATACTGAGTAAAGAACATTGAAACAATACACACACACTTACCAAACACCCTAACCTAACCTAACCAAACCTAATCTAGACATTGTAATTTTGATTTTCTTTCTGTCAACCAAACAACATTGAATCCAATATAAATCGTAATGAACACAGCCGATGAGATCCTCGCTTATTTATTGACTGTAAATCAAAGACCACAGATGCTCCCATAATGCAGACAATATGAACCAAAACATGGTCGCCACGGCAGATACGACGGTCCCATAATTACGGTAAATATTATTTTTCTTCGCCTAAAAATATGACAGACTAAAAATTACTGCCATATGATCAATGTTCGCTGTGTCTTTATTCCGCTATCTCCCTCTTCTTTCATGTTGTCGTCTTGATTTTATTACTATCATCCAAACAACTGTGGAAAATAGGAATGAGTTAACCTACAGTAGTTTCCACATACAGCCATCACTGAAGATGTCTAGGCAGGTGACAGGTGAAGAACATCACTTTACATTTCTTTAATTATCTCAAGTAATTGGTAACTAGTCTTTCCTTAACCTTGTTATATATTTTACCTAATATTCAACATACATGAATTATAGTTTGTATCAGAATTAACAACACATTTTATTCTACCTTAATTTTATTCCTATGTAAAAATATTAAAAAATAAATCTAACATTAAACTGGGAATTAGACACAAGTTAAATATCTATATATCCCTAGACCACATACATTGAGGTTAATTAATATTCCTTTAACTAGTATCCTTTCCTGGAGATTATTTTCGCCTTTCAGGAAGACCAGCCCAAAGGAATCTATATACGACTTAAACTATATACCTCACACTAACTAATTCCCAACATCTACTCCTATCTGGTGGGGTAAATGAGACCTTAATAACATATTAGAAGTTAGTAGAAGATATAGATATATATATAAAGATGCTAGTGGTTGAAGATGACTTAAGATCACTAGGGGAGGGGACGGCCTAATACACTAACCTCTAATACTCCACTTACAACCTAAATCTCCAACACCCTCTACTAAAAATCCTCCTTTAATGATAATAACTTGACTTTTTAGAGTAGTTATGTTACTATATATCAATTTTTAAAGGCAGCACATGTGTGGCACTCACCAGACGACATGACGGTCGACCCACAAGACTAATGACACAACTAACAGCAGTGAGTAGCATTGCGTATACCTCTATTACTACCTTAAATTATATCCTACACTCTACTTCTCTTATAATATTTAGTTTAAAATATCATATAAATATCATTTTTATATATTTGGAATTACTACGTGGATATTATATAGGGATTTATACTTGTAAGATGGTGAATGTCATCTGGTTATACCTGGAATTTTTGAGATTTCTGGTAATTTCTGTAATAATAAAAACTTATATAATGCTATAACCATATGGGAAGTATTATTATTTAAACTATATAATGCTATAAACACATGGGAAGTATTATTATTTTACTATAACCTAAATACGTACTGTATAAATCAGCTGAGTATACCATCCCCCTCTTGGTTCAGTAGTTTTAAATTCTTTCTAATATAGTCTCCTGTAATATAATGTAACACCCTATTGCCCTGAGTTTTATTTGTTCTGTAAGCTTAAGCCTAAAACTATGATCGAACTTACATTATAGACTAAAATCAGTTGAATTAATGATACATATTTTGTTTAATTCTTTTTATGGAAAGTTATTACATGGTCTTTCAGGTTATCCGGTTTAAAACACTAACTCTAAGACATCTCTACTGTGGAATTACCTGTGGTGCATATATCCAACCAGGTAATACTAACTACTCTCTATCACAATATTTAGTTAAAAGAATGTGAAGAATGTTGTACCGATGTATGGCTTTTCTCAGTAACCTTTTAACTATAACTGTGGAAAATTGATAACTTGATATAGAAAGGACTTAATTTTTTATTTTACAAATTTAACTCTTCAAAATTGCAATGGGTTAGTCATGTTACAGTCACCCCTCCTAGAACACATTATTTATACGTAATATAAATAATAATAATCATAATAATAATAATAATAATAATAATAATTAACGGTTTATTGAAAGAACTTGGCAGCCAGAAGGCTGAAAATATACAGTTACATATTAGGGGAATGGGTTACGAATTACAAATAATATACAAGTAACATAAGTGATACAAATAAGACATATAATAACTAGATGGGGAAAAGCTCAAACTACAGTTCATTTCAACATAGTGACAGTGCAAGGAGTAGTGTTTACTGGGAGTGAATACACTGGTTTATTACAAGTTATTGATAATTTTTACAATGGTTGGGACTGGGCTGTTCTTATAGCGATCAGTTCGTGCTCGTAAGGGCTGGATGCGGTTGTGGTGTCGAACAGCAATTCTCGGGCGAGGGATCTCGGGTGGTAGTAGGAGCCGGTGTCGAGGATGGTGTAGAAGCTTCTTACCAAATTTGCAGATGAGGTCGTGGTGATGGTCAGTGAGAGTCGAAAGGGTCAGTGTGTTGAGCGCTTCTTGATATGTGGAGTAGGAAGGGGAGAGAATAATCTTGCATGCCCTCTTTTGCACCCTTTTCTAGGTGTTTGTTGTGTGGCATTTAGGGAGGAAGACCAGGTGGGGGAGGCATAGGTGAGCTTGGGAAGTATGAATGTTGTGTAAACACTGAGGAGCTCGTGTGCAGGAACTCCGAGGGAGTTGAGTCAGCGGAGGAGGTGGAGACGGAAACTGGAGGATTTGACAACTTCACTGACGTGTGGTTTCCAATTTAGTTTGTTGTCTATGGTGACGCCGAGGAGCTTCGTGGAATCTACAACCTGGAGTGTGTTCGGACCTAGAGTAATGGAAGGAGGTGGGACAATGTCGGAGGAGAGGTTGATGTGCATAACCATGGTCTTGGTATGGTTGATGGCATATGGTTGTTGGTGGCCCAGTTTTGGAGACTGTTCAATAAATCCTGAAGGGCGGTATGTTGGGAGCAGAATTGTTGACGCTGATCCCAATGGTGGAGTCGTCGACATATTTCCAGCGAGCAGGGGCTTCTTAGGGCATCATTGATGAGCATAAGGAAGCAGAGTGGTCCCATCTTGGTGCCTTGGGGACGCCACAGGTGAGTGACTGAAAGGTGGAGACAGCCCTCGGAAGCGTACAGCTTGGCGTCGGTCACTGAGGAAGTCTGTTATGGTATAAGACTTCCGAAGCCGAGGTCAATAGCTTTGTTGATGATTATATTGTGGTCGACTAGGTCGAACGCTTTAGTGAAATCAATGAAGGCGACAGCTACAGACGTTTTTCGTTTCTCTAGATGGCGGTATATGTAATCGAGAAAGCTGACAAGACAGTGAGTGGTGGAGGAAGTTTTCATGTTGCCAAATTGCTGAGGGTCTACGACTCCTGCAATATCAGCATAAGCCCAGTCGAACACAAAACTTTCACAGATTAGGCTTACAGTATATATCACATTTTCCTTATCCTGTATTGTGCGCCTTGTTAGGCATTACAAATAATGTACAGGATACACTGTCCGTAATGACTGTTTACCTTGTTACTTTGCCTGTTACAAGTTCTTACACAATTTTCTCAGTTTCTGTTGCTTTACTTTTTCTTTAAAATCTGATAGTGTGAGAGAATTTATCATGGGGGTGTAGCTCAAATGGTAGAGCGCTCGCTTAGCATGTGAGAGGTACGGGGATCGATACCCCGCATCTCCAACTAACGTTTTCTCCATTATAGCGGTAAATTAAGAAAATAAAATCAATGTTGGGAAGGGGGGCAGTAGAGTATCTCTCAAACAATGTCTTGGGTTCAATACCTGCCCTGAGACCCGACCAAACATGACAGCCTGGCACCCGTACAAACACTGGAGGACAAACTCACGTTGAACAGTTCTGAACAAGTGAACATATACACAAGCCACTTAACTTTACTCGTTAAAGCTGTTTATTCAGTTCGTACTTGTAACACACTGTACCGACATATAACGCAGTTGGTACAGTGTTATATATTGAGCCAGTGTGTGTGTTATAAACATGTAAAGTACAGTGTGTGTGTTACAAGTTTAGTATGAGCAGTGCAGTATAGGTTAGGTTAAGTTAGGTTACGGTGGTTTAATCGTTAGGTGAAATTAGCTGGGGCGATGATTCTTCAGGTGATCCGTAAGTATTATACCCAGAACACAAATAACTACCAACTCCTCCTTTGCGGTAAATATATTCTTCTAAAATCAGAGAACAAAGTGAACTGTTAGCATCGATTTTTTGCCTGTACAAGGTGAAAGGACAATGTGCAATTCAAGTCCTTTTGCGCTCGCCCCACAAGGGATCACAGCTGAAGGTTAAAGAAGCAGCGCAAGTCCGGGTAAGGGGTACATTTTTCGGAGTGAGAATTGTGATCTCTTGGAACAATCTGCCAGAGAGAGTGGTGACGGCACCGAGTGTGAGCTCTTTCAAGAGGAGAGTTGGCCAACACTGGAGCAGGTTCAGGAGCCGGTGCATGCCCAGTACTTGCCAACAGTGCATAACAGAGACGTGACCGATCGCCCAAGCGGCTAACGAGCCGATCAGTGGCGAAGAGGATAAAAGTAAAAGTAAAAACAGACTTTGCACAAACAAATCTGAGCCAAAATTGAGCATGTATAGCAGGCCTAACTCTCTCTCGCGGGTGCTTGGGCCAAGCAGGATTTGAACCCTGACATATTGTTGAGTATTGCCATAAAATAGCTAAAAAAGCAATTGTTCAAGAGATCTGTTTACAGTTTAACTTTTTCATCATATCACAACATAAGTACTGTATTGTATACATGTCAGTACTACTATACAAATGGATAAATAAATATTGTAAAAAAACTAGACCTAACTCTATATAACCCGTTATAGTACATCCTTCTTTCCTCACACAGCCAAACTGTGGAATGCTCTGCCTTCTTCTGTGTTTCCATACTCATACAATCTGTCTCACTTTAAAGAGCTGGTTTTCCGGCATCTTCGTGGTGTAGATTAATACAGTCTTTTTCTCTTTTATTGTTTAAATTCTTTTTACTTTTATTCCCCCAGACTCCGTTGTGGGTCGATGACCTGTGGCCGGGTGGGCTATTCCCCGTAAAAAAAACCCCCACAAAATATGTCCCAATATATACACTGGACAATTTATGTCATCAGTGACTCATATGTCTATCACACTTAACAGAAAATTAAGTCCGGGTCATGAACCCTTCCTTACCTGTTTGTCCGGTTCTCGCTCTGATTGGTGGAAGCCGATGACGTCATTGTCCGGCGTGCACACCAGATACTGCTGTTATACAATTTATCGTTCATAAAGCGAACAAAACTAACTTACTTAACCTCACATGACCTAACCTAAACTTGAGCTTCACCTTAATATTAATGCATGATATCCACGTAATCTTCTCCCCAGCGACGAAATATAACATATACAGTAATTGCTGGTCGATAGTGAACCACCCACAACATTCTGCCAACAGCCCAAGCAGTCATTTGTTTTGTGTTCCTTCACAAGCTGTAAGATAGTTGTAGTATTTTTATATTAGGTTAGTTTGGTTTATCTTATGTATCAAGTCACTTAACATACACCACAACAACTATTAAATATCTTAAAGAAATATCTCTCTTATGATCAAATATTACAGAAGGTCAGAATGTAAATTGTGGGATTTTAAAAACACATCATGAAACAATTGATAAGCTATTTAATGTTTTATATATATACTACACAGCGATACAAGTGCAGGTCAAGGCAGGAGGGCAAGGGAAGGAGTTACGTGTTTATATTCTCGTATCTGTAGAAAACTGTAAAAAAAAGTAAACTCCGGGGAGATGTGACCTCTTGGGTGGAACTGTACACATGCAAGAAGGGTTAAAGGAAGCAGGTGGGTGTTTGATTTCAACTGTGGGTGGAAAAGATGGGAGGTTGTTTTTCATTAGTCGTCAGGCGTAGACGATGTGGGTGTGTAGGCGTAGCTATCGGTGGTTGTGGTGAGCCCGTGGAGGCGATCAGGGAAGTTCACGACCTTGTTGTCCAAGTGAGAGGCGAGTGACTGTAACTGGACATTTCCTGAGTCTGTTGAGTTGAATATATTTACGTGAGCAACAGTCTCTATGTAGTATGTGCTGATATGTTACATATGTTGTTTACACATAAAAATAAAATAGAATGAAATAATACAAAATATAAAAGATTTTTAAGAATAGATTATTACAACTTCCATCCCTGGGCGTAGAGCTGGATTAAGGGTTTTGTAGGCCCTGGGCACTTTTTTATCGTAGGCCCATAAATTTCCTCAGCGTATGAAAAGCTCGAGGAACGAATTGGTTTCCTCCTTGATTCCTCACTATCAAGGGAAACGATTTCAATCAAAGCAGGCGAGTTGGTGGATGTCTACAAGTATGACATTGAATCCGTGTTCACTGAGGAGTTTCTGTTGATTGAACAAATGTTTCCCAACACTAAGTCAGTGGCAGAATATATTTGTCAATACTCAGTACCAGCTGTGAGGGTGAGAGGTCATTTTCCAAGCTTAAAAGAATAAAAAAACTGTCCAAGATCTACGATGGGCCAGAGTCGCCTATCGTCACCGGCGTTACTCAACACAGAGAGAGATTATGTTAAAAAGTTGGACTTTTAGGGCATTAAAGAAGACTGCCGCAGCCAACAGCAGAAAAGTGTTTTGTATGAAATTATAATCACTGATACATTGATAATAGTAGGTTGAATTGAGTTGCTTATTATTTTGAGGATTGATAAAAACTCTACATTTATTTCGCAGTATGTCTAAGAATAAAGTTGTTCATTTATTCATTTGTGATTATTTAGGCCCTTGTGACGTCTACTCAACCATAGTTAGTTTTCGGCAGGTCAGGTTTAAATGATGTCTAAGCACTAACCAAAAGGATACTAACTTAACATTTATAATCACTTCGTCTTATGACTGCAATCTATTTCTCTCTTGTCAAATTTATCGATTATTTTCCGTTACCCTGTTGGAACATAAAGGTTAATAGGCCAGACCACAGTGAAAATACATACATTATATCTCAAATTTTGTAGGTCCCTTAAACCTTCGTAGGCCCTGGGCACTGTGCCCCCTTGATAATCCGGCCCTGCCCGGGCGGCAGAACATTATGTTTTTGTATTTAAGTTTGTCCTAGAATCCGAAATGAAAGAAAACGAATGCATTATGAGGAGTAACATTGATAATCAGAGAACGTCATTGTCCGTGGACGGCTAATACAAGTATTGGTTCCAGATCTTTTCTCTAAATCCACAAATTTCCCGGAATATGCAGTAAAATACAAGGTCACGAAGAGTTTCACCTAAACGGACAAGTACACGTCGAAGTATACATCCACGAACACGGACTGGGCCACGGATATTCGTCACAGATAATGCCAAGCACGGACAAGGTTACTTAATAGCTTACCTTTTGAGGCGACAATAGCCAGGGCAATGATAAGTGACAAAACAGCTGCGGATAACACCACCACAGTCACCAACAATTTTTTCTCGAAATCCGTCCGCGACAGCCAGAAGACAGAGACTCGACCGCCACTGCAAATAACACGAGGTAGGTTACGTGGATGTGAAATGATGGCTAGAGGTCACAGCCTTAACTCAAACAACCTATAACTCAAAACAATGTCAGAGGTAACTTTTTTGGAGGGGGGTGTAACAGAGCCCATACATGCCCAGTACTTACAGTGTCACAGAGAGCTAACGAAAGAATAACAATCTAACTTACTCTCCATTAATCAAGGTATTGCTGTCTCCTAATCCCATCGACATCTTTACTTCTCTTCTTTTATCTTCTTCCTTCTTATCTTAGTCTTCCTTTCTTCCCCCTTTCTGGTTATCTCTCATATTTTTCTTCCTCTTCTTTCTCGTCTCCTTTAACTTTTCACTTCTTCTATATATGCTTCGTTATTCCTCACTATTTCCTCCTGCTTCCTCCTCTTCTCTCTCTAGTTCTCTGTTTATTTACACTTCTTTGTTTCCTTATTATTTTTCTCTTATTTGCCTTCTCTTCACACGTTCATTTTCACGCTGGAATTAAGACAACATCTTTAGTATTATTCCTGAGAGAGAGAGAGAGAGAGAGAGAGAGAGAGTCGTGTAATGTCAGGAGTACGATGTTGTTGTACTCAGGAGGATTAGCCATCGTAATCAAAGGGATACAATATGGAATATAATGGATTAAATATTGTACTCAAGGGGTTAAGGCGTAGTACTCAGGAGAAAGACATTGTACTCAAGGGGTTAAGGCGTAGTACTCAGGAGAAAGACATTGTACTCAAGGGGTTAAGGCGCAGTACTCAGGAGAAAGACATTGTACTCAAGGGGTTAAGGCGCAGTACTCAGGAGAAAGACATTGTACTCAAGGGGTTAAGGCGCAGTACTCAGGAGAAAGACATTGTACTCAAGGGGTTAAGGCGCAGTACTCAGGAGAAAGACATTGTACTCAAGGGGTTAAGCATTAGCTATAGTGTGACTGTGGTAATGTGGAGGAAATTCTCTTACCACCACACTACCACTATTACCACCACTACCACTATTACCACCACTATCACTATTACCACTTTTTTTTTTATAACGTGGCCTCCAGCCTCCCCCAATAGCCACACCTTCGCCACCATTTAATTACCTTAATATTAAATATCCTAATACATAAGTAGCTATCCTATCTGTGTTGAATTAGTTGAGCTGCAGCAGTTGTCGGAGTAGGGGCAGAAGCTCTCGTTCCCCTGAGGCAGAGCAAAGCCGACCGAAGGAGAGAGAAGGACAGTCGACATCTCATCCAGGCTGTGACATAACTTCTGGGCTGCTGCTTCTGCTCGGAGATCACCTCAGCGAGTCTGGCGTAGAAGCTTCTTGCACTTGGTCCCATCCCACCAGAGGTTGTGAACACTAGAGGAGTGAAGCTGCCTTAATCAACGTTCTGAATTCTCTCCCCATATGCCCTTATCTTGTCGTTCTCGTTCCTCCTGTGTGCAGCATCGAGAGCTAGGTTACGGTGACATGCGGCCATGGGATAAAAAATCCTGATGTCGAAGAAAGCTCGCTGTCCCTGCGTCCAGAATCCTCGAGCACTGACGTCCACACGGGCTTCGTTAGATGTGTTTGAAGTCCTGTGTTGGAAGATCTCACCACTACCACTATTACCACCACTACCACTATTACCACCACTACCACAACTACCACTATTACCACCACTACTACTATCATCACCACTACCACTATTACCACCACTACCACTATTACCACCACTACCACTATCATCACCACTACCACTATTACCACCACTACCACTATTACCACCACTACCACTATCATCACCACTACCACTATTACCACCACTACCACTATTACCACCACTACCACTATTACCACCACTACCACTATTACCACCACTACCACTATCATCACCACCTCTACCTCACTATTATTGCCACCTCACTTACCACCATCATCACCACTACCACCACGCCACAACTCACCATCACCATCACCACCCACTCACCCCACCTCGTACACTACGAACCACCCACTCATTCACCATCACACCACCCCACACCAACCACCCCACACCACCACCACCACACCATTGCCACCCCACCACCACACACCACCACCACCATTTCACCACCACCACCACCATTACTCACCCCACCACCACCATCACCACCACCACCACCACTGCCACCACCACCACCACCACCACTCCACCACCACACACCACCACCACCATCACCACCACCACCACCACACACCACCACCACCATCACCACCACTACCACCCCATTGCCACCACCACCACCACATCATCACCACCACCACCATTGCCACCACCACCACCATCACCACCACACTGCACCACCACCATTCCAACCACCACCACCACACCACCTGTTCACCAACCACCACCACCATCAACCACCATCGCCGACCACCACCACCAACCACCACCACCACGGGCCAACACCATCACCACCACCACCACACCAACCACCGACCACCACCACCACCACCACACACCACCACCATCACCAACCACCACCACCACACACCACCACCACCACCACCACCACCCCACCACCATCACCACCACCACCACCACGCCACCACCACCACCATCAACACCACCACCACCATCACCACCACCACCACCATCACCACCACCACCACCATCACCACCACCTCCACCACCACTGCCACCACTACCACTATTACCACTACCACTATTACCACCACTACCACTATTACCACCACTACCACAACTACCACTATTACCACCACTACCACTATCACCACTACCACTATTACCACCACTACCACTATTACCACCACCACCACTATCATCACTACCACCACTACCACCACAACTACCACTATTACCACCACTACCACTATCACCACCATTACCACCACTAGAAATACCACTACCACCACTAGTACCACCACCACTACCACAACACAATTCAGCACATCAATTCAAGAGAGAGAAAGAAAGAAAGAAAGAAAGAATGAAAGAATGAAAGAAAGAAAGAAAGATAAAAAATAATTACCTGGGGTACAAGGAGAGGGGAGAGCCATGAAGAGTCACACTCACTCACTTCAACAAAACATAATAACCTCGCTACTCTTACCCATAACATCGCGTCCGAATTGTCCCATAAGACCTCCCAATTTTCACCCCCTAACACTACTCCATTCTTTAACTAATTTCAACTAATATTTCCATCATTAATAAAAAAATTAAAATAAAATATATATATAATTTTATTATATTTCACCTCTAAATAAAGTAGCGATTTGGGGAATATTATTTATGTGTAGGTGTTTATGTAAAGTTGAAGTCTAAGCCACCTCGATCGAATGTTCCTTAGCGATAAACATTACTCAGGCGATAAGCGACAACGTTATCTTTACTATCTGTTGATAACGAAGACGATAAAGGAAGGGTGATAAATAATATTATTATTATTATTATTATTATTATTATTATTATTATTATTATTATTATTCACGCTGAAAGAGTCACATGTGAAGTGGCCAGTAACTTCAGTAAGCGCGCACGCACACACACACACACACACACACACACACACACACACACACACACATTATTTACGTATACATAACATAGACTAATAGGTACATGGATATACACAGTACATGGAGAGACAAACAGACAGAGACAAACAAAGAGATTGTTTGTCACAGTGGCATCTTGTTCGGGATGGGTCGTGACAGCGTCTTCCGGTGCTGTCACTTGTCCGTCCAAACACACACACACACACACACACACACACATCCATACACATGCACATCCCCTTACTCACACACATACTACTACTACTACTACTTTGCTGTCACTCGGAATCGAGTATGACGATCATCCAGCTATGATACAATGATGTGAGTTATTAAGGATGTCACCTAGGTTGGTGAGCTCTGAGGTGACTAAAGAGGCCGATACGGGACCGGCAGGGTCGTCCACAGATGTTGCACGTGTGGAGGGCTACATCTAGTGCGGGAGGGGTGGCGGCAGTGTCTTTCCGGCGTTGGCGCTTGTCTGCCTCAGGTTGCAGTCGGGCTAACTCGAAAGTATTGACATCTTCTTGTGTGGTGCTCCTCCAAGCGTTACGGTGTGGAGTAATCGTCTCCCGGGTGAGGGGATCGATTTGGCCTTTTTCAGGTTTGTCTTAAGACTTTCCTTATACCTCTTCAATTGCCCGCCGGCGTTACGTTTACTATTCGTTAGGTGACTGTAAAGTAGCTGTTTTGGCAGTCTACTGTCGTCCATGCGGGTAACATGGCCAGTCCATCGTAGTTGTTCATGGATAATGGTAGCCTCGATGCTCCTACAGTTGGTGTCAGCGAAAATACTGGCATTTGTTCTCTTGTCTTCCCAGCGAACTCGGAGGATGAACGTAGACCACGTTGGTGAAAGTTTTCAAGTGCCTTGAGGTGCCTCCTGTATGTGACCCATGTCTCGCTGCCATATAGCAGGGTGGGGAGGACCACTGCTCGATATACGTGTAACTTTGTAGATAATTTCAGCTCCCTACAGCTGAAGACACGGGTACGGAGTCCGCCCAAGGCATGAGATGCACATCTGATCTGATGTTGAATCTCTTCATCGATGTCCTCGGTGGTGGACTTGTGGGAGCCGAGATACCGAAAGTGGGTAACATTAGAGAGGGTAGTACCGTTAAGCTGGATGGATGGTGGAGGTGTGTCTGAACCAGGGGCAGGCTGAAGTAAAAGTATACGCATCTGTGTAGGTGTTCAGGATCTACTGTAGCTCGTGTTCAGTGTGAGCGACAAGGGTGAGGTCGTCTGCATACTGAAGTTTAGTAATGGAAGCTGCCGACAGACATACAGAGAGAGAGAGAGAGAGGGGGGAGGAGAGAGAGAGAGAGAGAGAGAGAGAGAGAGAGAGAGAGAGAGAGAGGTGCTAGTCTTGGAGGGTCAGACACGCTTATCCCTTTGCAGTCTGTTTCTCACACAAATCTCTATTCTTTTCTCCATATATCTTTATCTTGTAATCGTACTCATTATATTTCTATCTCTCCTTCTATCTCACTGCTATTCTCTCTCTATATCTAATAATAATAATAATGATAATAATAATAATGATGATAATAATAATAATGATGATAATAATACTACCACTATTACTACTACTAACAACAACCATTCCTTGGGTAACCCGCACCTCTATTAAATTTCATCTCTGTCTTGAACACCCTAACCAAACCTAACCTAACCAAACCTAACCTAACCAAACCTAACCAAACCTAACCTAACCTAACCAAACATAACCTAACCAAACCTAACCAAACCTAACCTAACCAAACATAACATAACCAAACCTAACCTAACCTAACCTAACCTAACCAAACATAACCTAACCTAACCTAACCAAACCAAACCTAACCTAACCTAACCTAACCCCCAGGTAGTGTTAGGGTGGTTAAACATCAGGGGAAAGGGGGGGGGGTTGACTCTGCCACCATTGCTTCACGAACCTCTCCCAGTATCTCTTAGACTCGGTACGTCTCCTGTGGCAGTAATCTCTCACAATCCCTCTGTTGTCTCTTGGCTCACACCATTATGTCCCTGCCAGAGAACGTGACCACCTGAATCATTGGCTCAGAGCATGTGACTACAACTGTGACGTAGTGACCTGTGATTGGTACCAGCCTGGGGTCGTGATGTAGTGATGGATGATTGGTTGAGCCAGTTTTTCTTGTTTCCTCTCAGTCACTGCCTTCACTTGGGGTCCAGTAGAAGCTCGGGGTGTTGCTCTGTCTCTCAGTTCTCTAGAGAAGGGAGGGGGCGAGGCGTAACTCCTACTCCTTCCTGGTGATATGAAGTAGAAACAACGGTCTTATCTCCTACCAGTGACCCGGAGAAGGATTTTGGAGGGGTAACTACTCAAAGAATTCCAACACGTTATATCTGTCGCATCCCGGAGTATAGTTGGTCTCTCCTCGACGTCGCCACCGTCATGAGTGATATGGGGAGCGAGCTGGGGAGTGACGAGCCCAGGAGGCGGTCACTCCCGACGGATGAGTTCCTCTATACAGGGAATCCCAACCTTATGGGGATACCCTTCTTCAGACACCTGCGGGAGCTGGAAGGTGACCAGGAGGACCGCGCCTCACTCCTCGACTCGGCTCAGTTCGTGTCCACCTACGACTCTTCCGACGAGACTGGGGTGAGTGTTAGTATCTGGGGGAGGGGGGGTCAATGTGGCCCTATGATGCAGTGCCACATGCAGAACCAAACCTAACCTAATGCTAACCTAGAATAACCTAACGTTAATCTAAACTAATCTAATACAACCTAAACTAAACGAACCTAACCTAACCAAACCTATCGTAACTCAGCCTAACCTAACCTAACCAAACCTATCGTAACTCAGCCTAACCTAACCTAACCAAACCTATCGTAACTCAGCCTAACCTAACCTTACGCTTATCGGTATTGTTATCGTTTCGGTCATCCAGTCAATTTTAAGGTTAGGTTAGGCTGAGTTACGATAGGTTTGGTTAGGTTAGGTTAGGTTAGTTTAGGCTAGGTTAGGTTAGGTTAGTTTAGGTTAGGTTAGGTTAGGTTAGGTTAGTTTAGTTTAGGCTAGGTTAGGTTAGGTTAGGTTAGGTTAGGTTAGGTTAGGTTAAGTTATGTCAAGTGAAATAAGAAAATAATTAATTACTATATAGGATAAATAAATGTTTAAATAATAAAGAAAATATACATACATACATACAAACATACATACATACATACATACATACAAGTTGGCTATAACTATATGACCAAATGATTTATTATGTTTGATATATATTAAATGCATTTCTATATCATCTATATATTTATTACAGTGATATATATATTTTACTGTGTCAATATATCATCATAATCATCATCATCATCATCATCATTCTACTGCTTAACTCTCCCTCATCCCCCTCACTCTCCCACCCTCCCTCATTCTCTCCCTCACCCCACACCCTCCCCCATTCTCTCCCTCACCCCACACCTCCTTCACTCTCCCTCACCCCCACACCCTCCCTCACTCTCCCCTCACCCCACACCCTCCCTTCATTCCTCTCCCCCCCACCCCCACACACCCTCCTTCATTCTCTCCCCCCACCCCCACCCTCCCTCACCTCCCCTCCCACCCCTCCCACCCCTCCCCTCATCCCCTCTCCCACCCACCCTCCTCACCTCTCCCCTCACCCCACACCTCCTCCCTCACCTCCTCCCTCACCCCCACACCCCTCCCCCTCATTCCTCTCCCCCACCCTCCCACCCTCCCCCTCATCTCTCTCCCTCACCCCCACACCTCCCTCATTCTCTCCCCCACCCCCCACCCCTCCCTCATTCCTCTCCCCACCCCCACCCTCCCCATTCTCCCTCACCCCCCACCCTCACTCTCTCCCCACCCCCACACCCTCCCCCATCTCTCCCCTCACCCCCACACCCTCCTCCCTCACCCCCACACCCTCCCTCACTCTCCCTCACCCTCCAACAGTCAGGAGTGGAGCTGGTACAGAGACCAACCACTAGATATGGAACCTGGAAGAGCATAGAGGAAGGCATCACCCTGACCTGGCGTGACCTCAACGTGTACGTCCCTCAGAGAAGACCCTGGTACAGGAGACACGGCAAGCACAAGCCATTCAAGAGGGTGCTGAATAATGGTGAGTCTGTCTGTCTGTCTGTCTGTATGTCTGTCTATCTGTCTGTCTGTCTATGTGTCTGTCTGTCTGTCTGTCTGTCCCTCAAGAAGAAAACCTTGGACAGAATATTCGATAATCATTATAACTCTTTAGGAAGGTTGAGAAAAAAAGTGAATTATATCTGTGTGTGAGAGAGAGAGAGAGAGAGAGAGAGATAATATCCCACCGAGTGTATTATTCTCACCTAAGACCCACTCCTATAGTGAAGATCACGAGTTTTTTCAAAGATCTTTACTGTAGTCAAATCTTCCTCCCTCCCTCCCTCCTTCCTTCCCAACTAGCGACAAATATAAATTCCTATACGTTTCTAAATTAAATTAAATCAAAATAGTCTTTATTTATTAATTTTATTTAGAAACTCAACGTAAATACAGTGAAGATAGTCATTTAAAATCATTTCGATCATCTAAGGATATAGGTTTTACGCGGTTGTCATCGGAGTATAAGCGACCCAAACATACCTGCGTTCGAAGACATGGCGGAAAATTTGAGATGTTTTTTAGGTGTTTTAATTAATATCTCTCGGGTTTTCTGTATTTTTATATATATTCATTATATTTTTCTGTGTTCGCTATTTATTAATGTTTGTTGCATTTGCCTGTTTATTTATTTTTATTGTCATTAGTTAAAAGTTTTGCTTATTCTCTCTGTCATTCCTCAGTCTCTCTTTTTCTCATTTGTTCTATCTTTACTTATATAATTCTCTCTATCTCTCTTATTTTCTCTATTATTATATATTCCTCCCCTCCCTCTCTCTTTCTCTCTCTCTCTATCACTTTCTCTCTCTCTGTCTGTCTGTCTCTCTATCACTTTCTCTCTCTCTGTCTGTCTGTCTGTCTGTCTGTCTCTCTACAGATGAGCTACTGTAGTTAGTGTTGTATTAAACGTGTCCTGTTGTTGTGTTACAGTGTCGGGAGCTGTTAGGCCAGGCAGTCTTGTAGCTCTCATGGGGGCCAGGTGAGTATCTGTCTGTCTGTCTGTCTATCAATATCTGTCTATTTCTCACTGTCTGTCTGTCCAATCCATCTGACCATATCCACATTTGTAATCCATCTAATTATATCAGACCTACTAATCCATCTAATCTTACCCACATCATTATATCCATCTGTCTAATCCACCTCACCCATATCCACATACACTCAGCGGTGCGGGTAAATCCACGCTCATGAACGCTTTGGCTCACCGAACGCCTGGCGAAGTGGTGATTGACGGCGACATATTGGTGAACGGCCACCGAGCTAACAGTAGTATGAACGCCCTATCAGGTTACGTTCACCAGGATGACATCTTCATCGGCTCCCTCACCGTCAAGGAACATCTTACGTTCATGGTGAGTATTGGGGGAACAGGGGGGTAGGGTGGGGTGGGGTGGGGTGGGGTGGGGTGGGGGGGGTGTACGTTTATGGTGTTATTATTATTATTATTATTATTGTATGCTACTGTCATTGTTATTTGTTTTATTATATCTTATTCTTGTTTATTATTATTATTATTATTTGTAAATTGATACTACTACTACTATTATTACCACCATCTTCGCCAGGCTCGGTTAAGGATGGATGTTAGGACTTCCGCCTCAGAGCGAAGGATGAGGATACAGGAATTAGTGAAGGAGTTAGGACTGACGAAGGTGCAGGACTCTCGCATCGGGACGCCAGGGCTGGACAAATCTCTCTCTGGGGGCGAACGGAAGAGACTCGCCTTCGCTACTGAGGTAAGGAGGTGTTGGTAGCCCTGTGTGGTGGGGTGTGGAAGGGTTGGTAGGCCTGTGTTGTGGGGTGTGGAAGGGTTGGTAGGCCCGCTGGGGTGTAGGCCCTGTGGTGGGGTGTGGAAGGTTGTAGGCCTGTGTGGCCAGAGAGTGGGGAGGGCCCTGTGTTGTGTGGGGGTGTGGGAGTTGGTAGGCCTGTGTGGTGGGGTGTGGGGGTTGGTAGGCCTGTGTGATGGTGTGAGGAAGGGCTGGTAGGCCTGTGTTGTGGGGTGTGGGGTTGGTAGGCCTGTGTTGTGGGGTGTGGGTGGGCCTGTGTGTGGGGTGTGGGAAGGGTTGGTAAGCCTGTGGTGGGGGTGTGGAAGGGATGGTAGGCCTGTGTGGTGGGGTGTGGAAGGGTTGGTAGGCCTGTGTTGTGGGGTGTGGAAGGGTTGGTAGGCCTGTGTGGTGGGGTGTGGAAGGGTTGGTAGGCCTGTGTTGTGGGGTGTGGAAGGGTTGGTAGGCCTGTGTGGCAGAGAAGAGTGGGGTTGGTAGGCGTGGATGGCCTAGGAAGAAATTGGCACCTCTGGGTAGAAATGTACAGGTAATAAAGCTTGACCTTCGTGGGCAGGTTGACCCTCAGAAGACAGGTATTTTAGACAGGTCCCTACGCACACCTGTCCCTCTCGTCAACTCATCAACAGTAATCAGATATTTCTATTTTTATTTGTTAAGGTCCACTGATAAGTTAGACGTCACCTGTGCAGATGTATACCTGGACACACCCATTATAGTCTGAAATAACACGTATCTTAACTACTTCTCTCATTTTAACCCAAACAGTCGTAATAACAAGTAAAATATCCTCCGTGTTTGAATGTCTGTCTGTCATCAAGAATAATTTACATCTCACGGGTAAGAAAAAAGAATTACGTACACATAAACTAAACATCTTAACACACTCACACCTGCGGGTCACACACACACACACCTGCGGGTCACACACACACACACCTCCATGACAACAAGATCTTCTCACATACCAGGGCGGCCGGGAAGGGGGAGGCCACTGGTGTCGATTCATAAGAACATAAGAATGGTGGAAACTGCAGCGGGCCTATTGGCCCATACTGGGCAGTCCCGTTGACACCCAACCCCTATTGCTCATATGGGCATCCAACCTATGTTTGAAGCTATGCAGTGTATTCGAGTTAATGATGATATTTGGTAACTTGTTTCATTCATCCACTACTCTGTTTCCAAACCAATGTTTACCTATTTCACGCCGAAATCTAAATTTGTCTAATTTAAAACCATTGTTACGAGTTCGCTCCTGGTTGGACAGTTTGAGTACCTTAGTAATGTCCCCTTTGTTCAGCCCTGACTTCCGTTTAATTGTACACCTCTATCAGGTCGCCCCTCGCTCTACGTCTCTCGAGGGAGTGCAAATTAAGATGCTTTAACCTGTCTCTATACTCAAGGTTCCTAATGCCCGGGATTAGTCTTGTCATTCTCCTCTGAATTCTTTCCAAGGATTCTATATCCATCCTGTAATACGGTGACCAGAACTGAACTGCGTAATCCAGGTGTGGTCTCACAAGCGCAAGATACAGTTTTAGGATGACCTCCTAGTCTTGTAACTAACACTCCTTTGTATGAACCCAAGTACTTTATTAGCCTTGTTACGAGCAAACACACATTGTTTACTTGGCTTAAGGTTCCTACTTATCATTACTCCTAAATCTCTCTCGCAATCGGATTTCTCAATGGCATCGTTGTTCATCTGGTAACTGGTTTCCCTGTTTACATCTCCTATACCGAGTACTTTACATTTGTCCACGTTGAATTTCATCTGCCATTTTTCAGACCATTCGAAAATTTTTTTTAGATCTTCCTGTAGTTTTGCGGAGTCCTCGTCAGATTTAATAACACTTCCTATTTTAGTGTCATCAGCAAATTTACTTATGTTGCTGTCTATGCCGATATCTATGTCGTTTATGTATATAATAAATAATAATGGTCCAAGTACTGAGCCTTGGGGAACTCCACTAGTGACGTTGCTCCAATGGGACTTAGTGCCGTTAATGCTCACTCGCTGTTTCCTGTCCTGTAACCACGCCCTAATCCATTTAAGGATATTACCTTTGATGCCATGTGCTTCTACCTTTCTAATTAGTCTTTCGTGGGGGACTCTGTCGAAGGCTTTGCTAAAGTCGAGATATACCACATCATAATTGTGCCCCTCGTCCACCGATTCGAAAACTGATGAAAAGAATGTTAATGGATTAGTTAGACATGAACGCCCGCTTGTGAAGCCATGCTGGGAATCATTGATCAATCGGTGCTTCTCCAGGTGATTTCGAATAGAGTTTGAAAGTGATTGCTTCCAGTAATTTGCCTACTATTGATGTTAGACTGACTGGACGGTAGTTAGAGGATAGTGGTCTATCTCCCTTCTTGAAAATCGGTATTACATTCGCTATCCTCCAGGATTCTGGTACTACACCTGTTTTTAAGGACATGTTAAACAACTTTGCTAAGGGCATACTAAGCTCTTTCTTACGTTCCTTTAATCCTCTGGCAAATATCTCATTGGGACCAGGTGACTTATTAGGCTTTAGTTTGTCTATTTGCTTACCAACATCGCTACTAGTCACTACTATCTCGCTTAATTTACTTTATTCACTATCTCTGAATAGTGTCGGAGCCCCGGGTATCATGTTTAGATTCTCGGTGGTGAAAACTGTTGTCTGATTAATACCAAGAATAATTCCCTTTACCTTGTGTATTTTTCGCTGTGACAGATAAAAAGAGACACCATATCACCCGTCTCTTTATTATCTCCTGTTAAGAACCACAGACAGACAACTTGTTACCCGTCAATAACTTACCGTAAACTCCCTCTCGACAGATCCTGACAGACCCGCCCCTCCTCTTCTGCGACGAGCCCACCACAGGTCTCGACTCCTTCAACGCCAAGAAGCTGGTGAAGATGATGAGAGAAATGGCCGCCAGGGGGAAGACCATCGTGTGCACCATCCACCAGCCCTCCACCGAAGTCTTCCTCATGTTCGATAAGCTCCTTCTGCTGGCTGAGGGGCGCCTGGCGTACATAGGGTCATCCTCGGGCGCCCTCGAGTTCCTTGACGGGTGAGGGACAAAACCAATCCATCTGCTTTAGTCACCCCTCCCTCACCTCCCCCCCCACCCCTCCCTCACCTCTTCTTCACCCCTCCCTCACCTCCCCCCCCCAACCCCTACACTATATACAGGTAACCGATGACACCTTTACAAACGGTGTACGGTCAGGGTAATACTCACCTGTCCCTATTTAGTACAGTATATGATTTATTAATGATTTACCATGATAGCTTACCTGTATCCTGTCACCTTATGTCACCTCTAACATGTTATTCATTTCACCAATCATGTTATTTAGGATTTATGATGGAATTTTTTACTTGATAATTTTTCTTTTTCAAATTTCGTCACGTATTTATAACCCTGATTACGTATTTCTAAATCCGTTCATGTATATTGGAAGATTAAGTCCCCAGCTTATTTTATCTGATGATTAAACACACTCATGTTACTTGGGAGGGTGTAGGTTAGGTTAGGTTAGGTTAGGTTAGGTTAGGTTAGGTTAGGTTAGGTTAGGTTAGGTTAGGTTAGGTTAGGTTAGGATTAGGGCAGTTAATCTTAAAGTGAAATAAAAAAAAACCCTCGCCCCATTCCTCCCCCTCTCACTTCCCACTCACCACTGACCCTCCTCAACCCCTCCAACCCACTCACCCTCTCCTCATCCGCCTCACCTCACTCACACCCCTAACCCACTCACCCTCTCCTCATCCACCTCACCTCACTCACACCCCTAACCCACTCACCCTCTCCTCATCCGCCTCACCTCACTCACACCCCTAACCCACTCATCCCACTCACCTTCCACAGACTGGGTCACAAATGCCCCTCCACCTTTAACCCTGCCGACTACTACATACATACCCTGGCGGTTCACCCAGGTCACGAACTGAGGTCCCGAGAACGTATCAAGAAGATCTGTGACAACTTCGCCGTGTCCCCGTACGCTAAAGACGTTGACTTGATTATACAGTACCAAGATAACATGAGTCTACAGTATAAGGATAGCGAAGTGAGTTATCTCTTGTTGTGGTGTTGTTTTAGTTATTGTTAGTATTATGATTGTTGTTATTGTTACTTCTACTATTACAAATGCTATTATCATCATTATTATTATTATTGTTATATGTCTGTTGCTATATATCTATCTATCACGGCTCTGTCTATGTCTGTCTGTCAGTAAAGTATCTGTATATCATGTTACAGAAGGCCACTACTTACTCCGGAGTGTATCCTGCCTCCTCCACCACGACCAGCACGGTGAGTCACTGGTGGAGGGAAGGAGGGAGAGAGGGAGTGAGAGAGGGAGAGAGGGAGGGAGAGAGGGAGGGAGAGAAGGTGGGAGGGAGGTAGGGAAAGGAGAGATTTAGACTATTATAATGACAAACTTTATTATTATTATTATTATTATTATTATTACGTGGTCATGACGTCACTAGTAAGACCGCTTTGTTTACATTGTATTAAGAGACTACGAGCCTAATGTTTATTTTTTGTCACCCTTTCAGGAATCGATTGTCAATGTCATGAAGAACGTACCGTAAGTGTCCTTGTACTTTGTCAATAAATTATACATAAGTTATACATATTTTACTACTGTTACTACTACTAACTACTACCACTACTACTACAGGCGTCTTCCTAACTGGTGGATTCAGCTGTATTGGCTCACCTGGCGTTCACTGCTCGACTCATACAGGAATCCCGATGTTCACGCCATTAGAATACTCCAGAAAATTGTGAGTAGTGATGAGAGAGAGAGATTCGAAAATCCTACTACGACTACCACCACTCCCACTAACCACCCCCCTCCCTCCCTCCTTACACAGATAATGGCACTACTGATAGGCGTCTGCTATACAAATGTGACCCTCAACCAGGCAGGGGTACAGGATATTGAAGGCGTGTTATTCATTTTCATCACCGAGAACACCTTCCCCTCCGTCTACGCTGTTCTAAATATCTTCCCCCAGGAGCTGCCTCTGTTCCTACGGGAGTATAAGAACGGCATATATAGATGTGATATTTATTACATCTCTAAAATGTTATCTATGGTAAGTTTGGTAAGTGTGGGTCAGGGTGTGGGTGGATGGGTGGGTGTGGGTGGATGTGGGTGTGTGGGTTGGTTGGGTGTGGTTGGGTGGGATGGAGTGAGTGAGTTTAGATCATCGTTCATTATAAGAGAGAGAGTAAGTACGTAAAGATGCTAACCTAACCCTAACCTAACCTAACCTAACCTAACCTAACCTAACCCTAACCTAACCACGGACCAAACTTAACCTCAGCAGTCCTTAACCTAACATCACATCACCAGGCACCTCACCTCTCCTCACCAGGCAGGCACCTCACCTCACCTAGGCACCTCACCTCACTTCACCTCCACCTCACCAGGCACCCTCACCCTCACCTCACTCACCTCACCAGGCACCTCACCACCTCACCAGGCACCTCACCACCCCACCTCACTTCACACCTCACCTAGGCACCACCTCACCTCACCAGGCACCTCACCCCACCTCACCTCACCAGGCACCTCACCTCACCTCACCAGGCACCCCACCTCACCCTCACCAGGCACCTCACCTCACCTCACCAGGCACCACCTCACCAGGCACCTCACCTCCACCTCACCTCACCTCACCAGGCACCCCTCTCACCTCCTCTCACCTCACCTCACCTCACCTCACCTCACCTCACCTCACCTCACCACCTCACCACCTCATCACCAGGCACCGGGGTTCATCATGGACCCAGTCATCTTCGTCACCATCTGCTATTGGATCGTAGGCCTACAGCACCAGGCCTACCAGTTCTTCATGACCGTCCTCATACTGATCTTCACCACCAACACCGCCTCTGCTTGTGGTAGGTTAAATAGTGGTAGGTGTTGGGGGGATTGTGGTAGGTAGAAGGGGGCATTGTGGTAGGTGTTGGAAGAATTGTGGTACTGAATAATAGTGGTAGGTGTTGGTAGGGATAAATTTGAATGATATTGTTATATAAAGTATAAAGCAATATTCTTAACAACCATCACCACCATTAACACCACTACCACTAACACCACCACCACCACCATCACCACTAACACCACCACCACCACCCCCACTACCACCACTAACACCACTATCCTCCCCCCTACAGGAGCGATGTTCTCAGCCCTGTTCGACAGCCTCCCTTACAGCATGGTCATCTTAATACCCTTTGACATGATGCTCCTTATCTCCGGCGGTCTCTTCATTAACCTCAGGTGAGACACCCTTACCTGGGAGGCTCTATCTCTCCGTTACCTCTCACTGGTATCTCTTAGTTGCTATGGTCTCATGTTTCTCAGTAATTATCACCAATCGTAAGAGAGAGTAGATTGATTTTTTATAGGTCGAGAATAAAGTTGTTGATTATTATTATTATTATTATTATTATTATTATTATTATTATTATTATTCTTTCTTCCTCCCTGACTCTCCCTGACCCTCTCCCTCCGTCTCACCCTCCTTCCCTCCCTCCCTGATTCTCCCTGACTCTCCCTCCGTCTCTTCCTCCTTCCCTCCCTCCGTCTCTCCCTCCTTCCCTTCCTCCCTCCCTGACCCTCTCCCTCCTTCCCTCCCTCCCTGACTCTCCCTCCCTCCCTGACTCTCCCTTACTCTCCCTCAGCACTATGCCGTGGTACATAGGGTGGGTCAAGTACCTCTCGTGGTTCATGTACAGCAACGAAGCTCTCACCATCACCCAGTGGAAGGGTGTCCAGGAGATTGGTAAGTCTATGGTTGTTTTGATTGTTTGATTGGTTAGTGAGTCTTGCCTTGATTGGTTGATTGGTTAGTGAGTCTTGCCTTGATTGGTTGATTGGTTAGTGAGTCTTGCCTTGATTGGTTGATTGGTTAGTGAGTCTTGCTTTGATTGGTTGATTGGTTAGTGAGTCTTGCCTTGATTGGTTGATTGTTTAGTGAGTCTTGTCTTGATTGGTTGATTGGTTAGTGAATCTTGCCTTGATTGGTTGAGTGACTAACTACCAACCCTACAGAATAATTGACTTAATTAATGATGATTATTTTAACTTTGCTAATTAATTATCTAACTCCTTGTTTAATTACTTGATTATACTTAATACTCTCATTCTTTGATTAGTTGGATTAGTTAATTATCAACTCAGAAATAGACTAAATAATTGATTAACTTTTACATAATAAATACAATAATAACCTAACCTAACCTAACCTAACCTAACGTAACCAAACCACACCCAACTAGACCTGACCTAACCTGTGACCTTCCCGTGACCCCCAGAGTGTGACACAGCCCCTGGAGTGCCTTGCCTAACAACGGGAGACGAGGTTATTAACAAGTTTAGCTTCAGTAATTGGCACCTACCTTTTGACCTGTCGTTAATGGCACTGCTCTACCTGGGGTTTCATATAATTGGTTTCTGCGGTCTGTACTCACGAGCCAGGAGGAAGTAGAGGAGGAGGAGGAAGAGGAGGAGGAAGAGGAAGAAGGAAGTTAAGGAAAGGAAAATAAGAAAAGAAGAAGAAGAAGAAGAAGAAGAAACAACTAGACAGGGAAGAAGATGCTAGGAAGAGAATGGTGGATGAAGAAGAAACAAGATGAAGGAAATAAGGAAGAGGAGAGAGAGAGAGAGAGAGAGAGAGAGAGAGAGAGAGAGAGAGAGAGAGAGTGTTACAGTATCACTTTGTTTTATTTTACATACATACATACACACATACATACACACATACATACATACATACATACATACATACATA